CGCCCGTCTCCCTTCCTCCTATCACACACAATCCTCCACTTTCCGCTCCCGCGTTGCTTCGTTTTATTTTCATTTTATCCGTAGCTACGGAATGGTATGCTACCATCGGAAGAGTAGGTTGGGAATGATTTCTGAATCGGTCTGCCTCTGTATATTTTATTCCGTGTCAATTCGTTAGCAGCCGAACGGCCAATCTGGCTAGAATCAATCGATTTGCTCGATGTATTCGCCCATAAAACGCTTTAATTACAATACGTTATTGTTTCCATCGGCATAATAACGATCCCACTCCACTCGCCCGCGAATTAAGATCCGAGGCAATCTTTCCGTGATTATGGTGGTCAATAAATTGAGAAGTTTAGATCGACCAGTTTCTGATTTCATGTCCCACTTGTCATCTATTTTGCTATTTACACAACAATGGCGACCAATGACATGAAAATGTTTGCAAGAAAGATTCGGTGAATAAAAGGACAGTGCAAAAACGATTTAAAAAAAGTAATGAAACGCTAACAGACCTCTTCATGTAGCATTTGAAAACACTTAACAAGTGGAATACGAATAGAAGGGATGCAAATTACAACGTTGCAATAATTTACTCGAAACTGATCCTAACAACGACTGATTTTAGTAATGGAAAAATAAATCGATGCTTTGAAAGGAATTTTTTTATTTGAATGGTAACTAAAGAGCGTATGGAAATTGCATTTACGGCCATGGACATTCGTGCAAACCGTATCAATCTTCATAGTTGAAACGATCTTCAACTCGATCCAAGGTTTTCGAGGGTGTGAAACGCGGCAACCAGCTGTTTTAAGCGACGATACAAAATAGATTCTGTCGTGAAAACTGGCGGAAGCTCGCGAAAAGCATCGACGGAGGAGAAAAATCTAATAGATGATCGAAATCGAGTTTTAGCCCCTGTAAGAAACTAGCCATTCCACCCTTCTTGCTCGTGTTCGCGTTACTGCGTCGTCGACACTGTCGCCCCATCAAGCTTGGAATGAAATCCAGTTCGCATTTGAATCAGTCGGTAACACAATCCATTAGTTCCTAACAGCCAATACTCGGAGGACAGAATGGAAGAAAACGACCCTCAAATAGAAAAGAAAAGAGGGACGGAGAAACGTGGATGTAAGAAGCGGTGTGTTACGAATGATTAGTTTCCTCTATGAATCCCACTTAAACAGCAAACAGAGAATATTTCTTCTTCTCTGTTCTTAAAATCTTTCAATATTTAATGGTTTCGTTCATTCGAAACTATCACCACAGAATAGTAGTTAAAATGTTAATAAAGATTTATATTTTTAAAAAAATGGCCATTTTCTGTTATCCTCCTTCAAGAAAAGGATTTATTACTCCTGTGTACTGCAACTAAGTTTAAGATTTATTAATAGTACAAACTGAATTAACGTAATTAAAGTTATAAGCATTTATAAAGTTCATATAGGGAGCAAGAAAAATTCCAATTTTCTTTTCTTTCCTTCTGCTATCTCGCTCATTTCTTCCTACAACAACAAATCTCCACAATGGAGAATGGATGTTCTTTATTTTAAGGGTCCTTCCAGTCCCATATCTTACATTTTGCAATACCCCTATATTTAGACTTCTAACCACTAACTACTAACAATAATGTAGAATATTTGTTTAACCTACATATTTTCGAGTTTTATTGAAAGAATACACATTCTATAACATTTTTAAAATACCAATGAAATACAATCACGCACGAAGTGTACAATGAATACCAAAGACATTAACGTTGCAAAAAATAGTTGAAAAAATGAATAAAAAAACAAGTGTCATCCGGGCCGAGAAAGACTCACGAGCCGCCGTGCGAGCGTTAGCAGGTAAAATTCAATTATCCGGTCCAGTATGTGTGACGTAGGCAGGTCAAAGAGAGGTCCCTATCAGCGAAAAACTAGATTCCATCGTAGTTCTCCGGGTGCTTCAGGCTCGACAGAGACATCGTGTTTAGAGCGAGATCCAGTGGCGGCGATAAGCCAAAGTACAATGCTTTGAATACCCATCCAGCATCCCGATACGATCTTAACGCCTTCTAAGAGTAAACGGAATTAAATTCGCTCGACGCTCAAGGGCGGCCAACTGCAGCCGTTAACACGAGAACCGAGAGTATAGCCCTCGGATACGGATAGATACGGGAGAAGCATGTACCGGGAGATCGATACGTTTCTTTCCCTTTCTGTTTCTGTGTGTCCTCCCTTCGTTTCCGGCCCCTCATCCCTCCTCTTCCTTCCCTCTCTTTATATCTTGCCAAGCATTCCCTTCCGTACTCTCTACACGAACGCGGAGGGATCCGGATCCGTTTTCATTTTTCCCTTTCACTTTTCGAATATGTATGGATTTCGTGCCAAACGTCCGACTCGGTTGACAACTTGCGCAGGACGACAATAAAAGTGTCGTTCGGGCAGTCAGGGATGAACGGTTATGTACACGCGTTCGCTAATGCGGGATATATCTATCGAAACCATTACGGGGTAAAAGTTTAATCTGATTGTACAGGGTGTCGCAGGTTTTAAGGGCCAAACTTCGTCGGTATATCTTTTAGAGCAACGATTCTTCACCTGTGACCCGCGAACAGGCACGTGGAACCTTACACTGCATATGTTATGAAAATTCATTGGGTCAATTTCGTACTCCGATGACAAATTAAAAAGTTGGTTTAGAAACGAATCTAATTGGAAGGGGTGCACGAAGTCGACGTGTTTGGTAAACGGCGGAAGCGGTGCATATCAACATTTTTTTTTTTTAAATTATACCAGAATTAATAGAAATCGAAATTATATTGACAACAAAATTGAAAGAGAAAAGCATCAAAGCTACAAAGTACTTTTCCACGCTAGAAATTATTCACACATACATATTAACATTTTTAATATAATATTGCTATCAAAATTGATACAGAACCTAAAAATAACAGCCATAGGACTGATATAAAACCGAGATCAAAACCGATATGCTTCGAAACATCATACTTATATATCTAACAATTAAATAAATGTCTCTCAATCAGAACCGATAAGTAACAGTTTGAAACAGTTATTTACTCCTTTAAACGATTATTTAATGTGCTCCAATGTGCATGAAAATAAACCAACGAGTACCAGATTATCGTGGTTTTCGTTTAATTTAAATTCAAAGTTCCATCCCTCTCAATTGCGAGAACAGTCGAATACTAGATTCTACGCTCGTCAAAGTTTGTGTACGTCACCGTGGACGAAGTACTCGTGGAATGACCGACGCATACAAGCAGGAAAGAAACGTTGTATCGGTAGGAACAAGGCGGCAAAAGAGAAATTGTCGACGAATTCCTCCTACAGTTTCGCTTGGACGGTTCGCGCAAACGAGAAAAGAAGAAAGCGGACGTCGCCGGTAGAAGGTATGCGTTTGATTTTTCGATGGAGTCCCCGAATCGTATGGACGCACTCCGCAGGGGATGACAATGGCGTCCCATGGGAGGAGAGGCCTACCAGCCACCCAGAAAACTACCCCTTCGTCCCTCAGACCGCCTCATCGTCTCGGTCCTCCTGATTGTTTCCTACGCGGTTTCCCCACTCTCTGCCTCTATCTCAGTCTATCTATAGAGATTATTCGCGTTTCACCCTCTCGTGTCTCTTCGACGAACCCTTCATCCAAACCGCCACCTCCCACCCCCCCGTCAGCGCGAACACGGATATCGCGCACCTACAAAAATTTCCTCGAATTCAATATCTCCCGATATTTTACATAATTCATGAAAATTGAGCTGTTCGCTTTTCGAAACCCGTTTCTTTTTCCACCTCCCCCTCCCCGCCACAGGTATCAACATTTATCCCATACGCGATGTTTTCTGTCACTTTTCGATTTGGAATATCTTTCCAGAAGCTTCATATTTTTTATCGACGTCAATCTACGAAGAGGCAGCCTCGATTCTTGAGGGGGTGTTTCTAGATAATTTTTGATAATTATCTGACAAAAAACTGTACTAGTTTTTATCAAAATTCTCCACGAATTTATTAATATTTGTAAAGTATGCGGAAATTTTTTGAAAGTTAACTAATCACGACCATTTTGATTGTTGTAAAATGTAGTAAAAGAAACATGTCACCTTATGATTCCCACGACTTCAACCAGTCTACAGGTTTTAAACGAAAAATTAAATTACATTGAAACGATATATAATGAAGTATTTTTTGAGAAATCTATCATTAATTTGGTTTAGATTTTTTAGGAGAATATAAAAAGATGTAAGAATTAATGCAGATAATGTGTAACACCTGCCACATTTATTAATACTTGTAAAATATGACGAAATTTTTAAAATTAAAATAATTCTGCATATCTTATCTTATAATTTCCACAATTTCAGCCATTGTACAGGTTTGAAACGAAAAATTAGATTAGATTAGAAACGATATAATAAAATTTGTTTAAAAATCTGTTTTTAATTTGGATTGGATTTTTTGTGGAATATAAAGGGGCATAATATAATTAATGTATGATTGCAAGAACAAACAGTTTTCTTAAGCTGGAAAATTGAAACGTTTCAAACAAAAATTAACTTTCTTCCTTGGATAAACCGTTCGATAAAAATGATTTGCCCTATACATTTTCTATCGTTACTAATTTTCCATGTGATTTGAAGGCTCGAGAGGGTATTTTAGGAGAATATTTAATAAGAGGCCTGTGGCAATAGTTTTGCCAGGGACTGTATATTTTTAGACAAATGGACCTTTTGACATTTCGGTAAACTGACATAGTGGGTACGTAGTTGCCATACTATACAATACCGTACGGTCCTAAAGGTCGAAGAACACGTGGTCGGGGGTTTAATCTAGAGAAATGCTGAATAATAGAGGCGAGTAGAACGGGGCTTGCGATTGGCTTATGCAATATTCAGGCTTACTTTCCGGGCAAGTTCACGTTCTAATTAAGTTCTCAACGTTGAAAAGCGTTAAGCACCTTGTCAACCGTTTAACTGTTGTTCATTCTGCTTTCAGATTCTTCCTTAAGTTCTTTCTCAAGTGCAACCAGAACTGCCTTAAGAATGCCGGCAACCCACGCGATATGAGACGCTTCCAGGTGAGTTAACGCATAAATCTTTCATGAGTGAAACTCTCCAGAAGCAATCTTCTATTAGCTTACCGAAACATTACGTTGCTACAAGGGATACAAAACTTGTTATCGCAACGCACACTAGGGTAACTGTCCAAATAATCGAACATGCCCCGGTGATCCGATAACTTGGCGAAGATCGTTCTTAATATTAAGAAAACAGGATTCGTTACTTAATTTCATCGAAAGCAAATTTTTCAAGACACCACGTAACTGAAAAAACCGATTTCTAAACTTTTTCGGTTACTCATATATTTACATTCAACTCAAAGCAATGATTGTTTATTTTATATGTTTTCATTATGCTGGATGTAACAGTTGGACTCCCTGAGTAAAATAGATAATATTGTACTAAGAATCCACCACTTGCGAGCGCAAGTAGAAATAACAAATAATGGTCAGACATGCTAGCCAAGTAGTAGAAACGAATATTCACAATTGATATCTTCGAAATTAAAGCCTCGAGCAAAAAATTTTATTTCACTTCCTCGTTTTATGTTTTACACGTACAGTCACACTATACACAGTTGAAACATACTTCATTTAATATAATTCTCTTATTGAAGACTGATTAATTTATATAGTCTTCTCAGAGTTTTGAACTTTAATGTTCAATTTAATAAAACTAACATTAAGTATTTTTATGTTCTCTTCACAATACCTTTGCTTAAACATGTAGTATGAAAGATTGTTTCAAAGACAAAAGTACGATAATTTATAGAATATTTTGAATAATAAATTTTTGATAAGAAAAAGGTGATTCTATATGAAAAATTAAGTCGAACATGTTGAGCAAATTTGTTTAACTTGAAGCTTGGTTTTTCGAGAAAGGGACTATAAAAATTCGTGGAACAATAAAATACGAGTTGGGCAACATCCTAAGTAGAAATGGCGATTAATGGTCAGACGCGATGAATAAATCGTGTTTAGTCAAACGTATGCCCCACAAATGTTGAAAAGCAAAGCATACAACAAAATTTTGTTCCACATTTTCGATTCATTTTGTCACTTCTTTTCCGATTGTATCATGATTAACTCAGACCTGAAATTAAACTTGAATTTTCATAGATGTTGTGTTCCCTAATATTTGTTTTAAACACTACGTGACGTGATATTTTTGATATCACTCTTTGTTGGTCCTAATTTAAAGAAACCATTCGAACTCAGACAAGCGAGGGGTTGATTGGTCGAAGTAGTTAAACAATCCAGTAGGCTAATTCCTTTCCTTTTCCGAACAATAAATATTGGCATCTCAATTACAAAATTCGACGTCTGTTTTGTATTTTGAGACAACGATATTTAGCACAAGCGTGACGAGATTTATTAAAATTAATTTTGTATTGAAAGAAATTAGAGGGAAGCTTATCGTGTCTTTTTTATTTCAAAAAAGAAAAGTTGTAGGACGGTGGGAAGAAGGATAGATCGAATGGGAGAAAGGAAAAGTACGATGTTTTTGGCAATTTCTTTTTTAATTTCACCTTTTGTCTCTCAAAATAGACACTGGCGGAGTGACGAGATACGGCTGTCGGTGAGTAGAAGAGACCGTAATACGGTGGAAGGGTGAACGGATACAGGGGTGGGTTGGTTGATACCGCGCTGAGCTAATTGCCAACCCCTTGGATTACGTCTCTTGGATGGGGGATCTCAACTTTCGACGATGGCCGACCATCGAGAAATTGCTCGTTTCCTCGACGAACTTCTTTTCCTTTTGGAAATTAAAAAAGAATGCCTCCAAGTGGAAGCTACGCATCCGCAGACGCGCTACACGACGATAGGGTGGCACGCGATTGCGGAGGACTTTTACTGTTCTCGTCTCCGTCCATCCGCCCCTATAATTTCATGAGTCGTGACTCGCATCGCGGCCGAATTTCGATCAGTAATTCCACGCATCGGTAAAATTTTCAGCTGTTTTCGAAACAAATGCTACGTATCATGGCACATCCAAAAAGGGGTTGAAAAAATGAATCGAGAACGTGGAATACAATTGTTTCGTACCATGCTTCGTTTTCGAAACAATCGAATTTGAACATTTGTGGAGCACGTCTGACCATTAATCGCCATTTCTACTTACACCGACGTCCACGTCTGCTCCGATTAATTTACAAAGTCGATTATCTCGAAAACAATGTTTCGTACGACCAAATTTCGTTTTATTTTTTCCTGATCGGTGGAAAATTTCCAACGTTATCGCGGAAATCGAAATCGAATCAAAGTTGCCGTTAGAAACGCTCATGTATAATCAGTTACGTAATTTTCGAAGTTTGTCGCGCGTTCGTTTATCCTAATATACATTCGCCCGAACGCCTAGGCGGAGGTAAACCAAAGTTAAGTTGTTATCGCGCTTTCAAATTTGTTTAGGAATTGCTTATTACTCGAAGTTGCGAATTAAAATTTTAGCGGTACGCCTTTCTCTCCCTCTGGAAAATTTCACTAGCGAAGGACCGTCAGGTTATACTCACGCTTGTGCCGGGCGAATTCGCACTATGTTACGCGCCAGGTAATACGGCCAACCAGCCAACGAAGTTGCCAACTTGCAAAAGGACGAAACTTTCAGCATTTACCGACCGCCCGGCCGATTTTATAAACGTTCTTTCTACTTTCTCCCAAAAATCATCGTCTCCTTGTTTGCGTACGGAAAACTCGAGGTTAAATGTACGGCTTGTTTCAATTTAACCAAACTTTTCACTAAAATACGTACATCCGCTACAGGATCCAATAAAACGCATCAAATATAGAATTATCATTACTATTATTTATCGATTTAATTTCCACGCAATTGCTGCGAGATTTACAAAAAAATATATACAATTGCATAAACTATTGCAAGAAGGAAATTGTGTATTTTATGTACTCTATATTTTATCATCTTCAGAATGAGTATACAATACGTTAAATTAGAAGAGAATACAATACTAAAGTTAGAAAAATAAATGTTATAAGCTGACTCTTGGGGATACAATTATAAGACAGACATAATGAGACTAACTAAAATGTAAAAATTCCTTGAGCAAAAAGAAGTCTATAAGTCCTTTACTATTTTGCAATCTGAGACTTCGTTGTCGAGATATAAGAAATTAAAGGCTAAGCATTCCTCATGCGTGAATCGTGTCTACGCATGCGCGTAATTAGCTGACTTGGATTTAAATGACGCGCTCTGTGAGTTGCGCCAGTAAACTTTAACTGTTTATATCTCGGAAACGAAGACTGTAAACTGGTAAAAGGTAAAGGACTTTTCGATTTCTTTTTACTTAAGGAATCGTCTGACATCATTTCAAAATACAATTTTTAATCGATGCTTCTACAGTTAGTATTCAGTAATACATTAAAGTTAGGATCGTTCGTATTTCTATAATATTCCAAAATTATTACACAGTCGATGCAGCTGTTCCATGTTTATAGATATTAAATAGAATATATGTTTGTTATCTTAAATAATTTTTTGTAATGAAATCTTATTCCACAATGAGTTGCGACGAATGAAATAATCTGTAAATGGTTATTGAATGTTATACAACTAAAAGGAAATCTCGCCAAAATACTAACGTCACATTTACACAAACATTTTTATAAAAGAAATGCCAATTTTGTATTATTGTCTTGTAATTCTGATCAATGAAAGTCAGCTTAAGTTATCATTTATTTTTCGAACATTTTTGTTGTATGTCCTACAAACTTAAGGGTGTATAAACGTTTGTAAATTTCTTTTAAATATACAAACTATAAAAATATGCCAAGTATCTTATATTTTTGTCCAGTACATTGGAAAGGCCAAACAATTACTGCATCGTGATTTACAAAAATATTGGTAAATTTTTGTTCCAAGAAAGAAGACCGCGATTATACAATAATGCATGCAACTGAAAGTCTGGAAGCATGAATAACGAAGTATCGTCAGTATGAAATATTTAAACAAGGGCAAGCATTTGATACCATAACTCTTTGCTTTAATTATACAATGTAGCTATATTCCAAGGCATAGCTTTAATGAGATTATGTTCATACATTTATATGATAGTACCTATCATACATGTAAATAGGGGAACACGAGAGTCACGAAATACATGGGGAATATACATAACGCGATGCAGCAAATCAAACTGCATTGCTTGTTCACAAGAGATATGATTAACATATATACGCAGCTATATTATACCTAAATAAAATTATGCAACGTGATGCGCGATACAATCTCCGTACGTGCGTGCTATTGATTCTCGCTGATCAATGACTCGAAACATTTTAACGTACAATAAGAAACTACATAAAAAATTACACGTTTTACAATTTTCAACTAAAATCTCACGTCGACAAATTTCAATCGTCTGTAACAGGTGGTCATTTCCACGCAAGTAGGAGTAGAGGGGCCACTACTAGCAGTCTCGGACAACATGTTCGTCCACAACAATAGCAAACACGGGCGCAGAGCGAAACGATTGGATCCCAGCGATCCCGGCGAATACAACAGTAAGTATTGCAAACTATACGTAAAATTATAATCGAGAAGTAGCACATTTGGTAAAAATAAATGGGAAGAATTCATGAGAAACTGAACAACTTTGCGAATAGAACTGATCACAGTGCAAGAAACGAAATTTGATAAAAATAAATGAAACAACTTAATGAATAGAAGTAACCATAATGTAAAAAATAATATTTGGTAAAAATAAATAGAATTGATTCATAAGAGACGAAACAACATTCTGAATAGAAGTAGCCAGAATATACATTTGGTAGAAATAAATCGAAAGAATTCATAAGAGTTTCTTTTCATTTATAGTGAATCCCCGTTACAATGTACGAATGCAAGTGAGACTAGCATATAATAGCTATAATATAATATAACATAAACACAATCTCCCTGATCAGTCGACAATGTGTTAACGACTGGTCGGGCTGTTCGTGAAGGTTTCGTATAGGAAATTAGTAGGTTGTAGTGTTGTCTCGTCGCGAGAGAGAGAGAATGGCCGGAATTCTAGACTAAAAAGAGAGAGTACGGGGGAGGTTAGAGAGGGGTTGGTTTCTTCGAGATCGGTATAACGACTGGAGGGCCACGGTAGAGGGTGGAATCGTAAGAGGACGAGAGAGGGCGTGCTCAGAGGATAGGATATAAGGAGTCATAGGGCAATTCAGCAAAGTTTGGCGTCGACCGCGCATACAAACGGCTGATATCGTGCGGCCACCCCTCGACTACGCGCTCTCCTCTTCGCCTGGCCTTCTTCTTCCATCCTTTCTTTCTACCCGCTCCAAGGGAAGATGTAAATCAATGGGATGCGAGGAAACGGGAGATCCGGCCACGTTTCTCTCTGTGCTTCTCCTCCTTCCTATTATTCCCTCCGTACCTTCTCGCGTTTCGAGTTTTCCTTTCCCGCCTTGCCGCGCCTTTTTCGCTTCTACCCCGGTTATATCCGGTTGGCCGACGCCGTACACAAAGAGCAGAACGACCGCGAAGAAGAAGAAAGAAGAGAAAGCCTGTCGGAATTGATCCTTCCCTTCTTCTTTTCTTTTCTTCTTTTTTTTTGCGCTAATGTCTTTCTTCTCGCAGTGGTTGCCGCGGCGTGTTGGTTCGCGAATGCTAAATTTAAAATACCTCCTGCGAGCCTCCACGACTTTCGCTATTCTCGCGACCGTGGGTCCAACAGTGAAAAATTTAGCGACGTCTCAGGGTGTATTCTACCGTGGAACGCGCGTTTTTAGGCCTTCTTTGGTAATCTCTTGACAAACTGTATTTATCAAAAAATTCCTCGCCACGTGTTTATTAAGATTTATGCAATATTTACGTCTTTCGAAAGTCCATTATCTCATGGTCTCCGTGAAAAATGAAAAATCATTTTTAATCGAGTCGATTTTTTAATATTTCTTATGAACAACTAAATTTGGTGTGCACTAAAGTTAATGCACTGTCTTATGTTTCCTATAGTTCCTATAAAAATCTTTGATTGATTCAATTCGAAATGAACAAAAGTGATAATTTATTACAGGCAAGTTTTTTAGAATAAATAAATGGCGTTAAATTCGCGTTTGTGGAGAGAAAGCAGTTTGGTCGTAAAGCATCAACTTAATGATGCCGTTTCGCGGTGAAAGCGAAAGCAACTTTTTCTGGCAAAGTTCTCGGGCATTTATATCGCGATCTCGCAGTGATCAGAGAGAATCGGACTGAACATGTTAGAGTACAACGGGGCTCCTCGATTTCGACGACGGTTTGGTGGTAAAAGAAGAGTTCGGGGGTAGAGAGTAGAACCCCTTGCCACTCAGTAATGGCACGGGGGATTTTATTTATTCCGGGTTGGTACGCTTGTTCCGGCCTCCTCTACTGAATCCCTCTTTTCAACCCTCCTCCTTCCACTCCGCCTCTTCCTACGTTTCTGCCCCATACCATTTCGTCCGACAATTCTCTACTGGAGTGGTTGCCAACGTGGCCGACTCTGTTTAACGACTTTCTTGTACATTGAACGCAATAAATACCCGTGTCCCATTCAAGAATCCCCATTTACATTGAGATTGCAACTCTTTAACGCTATTCTCCGCCCGCGTATTTAAGTTGCCGCTTAATTTACGCGAGACAAAGTGTTTCCCATAAACAAAATATTACCAGCCATGGAAAAGGAATAACAGAAACGATATTTTATCCGGCTGTCCCCGGAGTCGTATGGTCGAAGCAAAGCTGAATCCAACTGAATCTAACTGTACTTGGGAAATAATCTTTAATTGTCAACTTTTTGATAGAAATAATCGAGAACGAAGGAATCTCGTTTCGCGTATCGAACGTTTGAGCACGATGCCCACCGTCGAGATCTCTTAAGCTTTCGAGATTTAATAGCGGAACTACGTGTAAGCACTCAGGGTGGAAACTGTTTGAGCATCACTGGAAGCAATATACCATGATGTCAGCCACTCTGCCGTGGCTCCGCTCTACCAGGGTCGGTACCGGGGGTGGCTTGGCTTCGCTGGGGTACAAAATGATATCATTGGGTTATAAATTCCAAGCAGAGACACCAACGGCCCGATCGCCCCCCCTCCCCTTCCTTCTTGTTACAACTCTTCTCCGGCCACTCCGACCCTCAGTCTCTTCCACCCACGGTCTTTCTCTTTCTCTTTCCACGCGCTGATGTCGTTCTCCTTCATAGATTCTCTGTCATTTTCCCTCTCTCTTACATTCTACCATCCTCGTGGCTAGAGTTTGCTTGCCATGCTGCCACCAGAAATATATCTACCACTCGGCCTCGACCGAATAAACAGAATATTCAGATACTTTTCCGTACACCATCCCCCTAACTAACCGTCTCAGTTCACCTCGTACAATCAACGAAATTCCCGTAATTTTTTCGACTTAACTCCCTTACCACTTTTTCACCCCGTATACGGAGTGTTATTGTTTTTCTAATCCCACGTATCGACACCGAAATCATCGTTATCCACAAATTTGTTACCGTGATTGCTAGCAATGGCTTCATTTTTCTTTCAATTTTCTTCATTTTCTTCATTTTTCAATCAACGAATATCTCAAAGGACAAAAAATTTTTTTCCTTCATTTACAGAGTGTTATTTTCTAATTCCATTATATTGAAACTAAAGTCCTAATATGAATGTCTTCCTGGGAAAATGTAATCAATTTTCTATCAACGACTCGACGTCTTAAACGACAAAACATAAACGTAAAATTTGGTAAAATTAAAATACGTCGTAGGCACGTATACGAGATCATAGAAAGAGTTCTTATCTACGAAACTATCAATCGTTCCGAGTTTCTCTCTTTTTTATTTACAATAAAAGGATTTTCAATTCTAGCTTCTGCTTGTTGCATCCGAAAATCAGTAAAATTCAACAATTTGTTTCATCGACGATTACTAAATAGAATGTTTCTGAATGATTGGGTTATTCACGATTCATAAAACATCTGCCAATTAACAAACAGAATATTCGACGAGTTTTCTTCTCCGTGTGCAGACTTTGTAATTCAAAATATTGAACTTAATTACTCGAAACGTATGTAAATCTTCGTTATCCATAAATTCATGCCCCAGATTAATGCGTATGTTACATTATTAGTTTTAACGCCGGTATATATTAAAACAGATTTCCGACATTTGGGAAATTATTCTAATTAACGATATTCGATTGTCGTCATTTAATGAAAATACCAGGAATTCTTCGATTGTATATTATTTAATTGTTTTTTTTAAATATGATCGTCTATCTGATAATCACAAAAGAACAGATTCGTTTTACGATTAGCTTAAAAGTGCGAAAATGGGTGGATTTGAATGCATCAAAAATAAATATAAATACAATAGAAAATAAATCGAAAATGTAGAATACAATTTGCTCGTACAATGCTTTGTTTTCGAGAAATTGGGTTTCAAAAGTTTGTTGGATAGGCGTGCGATTGGATACGATTTGCCCGACGCGTCTGACCATTTATCACTGTTTCTACTTACAGTGCTATTCAAAATCGATTTTCTCCGAAACACAAAATCTCGTGTACAAAATTTTTATTTTATCTAGTAAAATTGCCCTGTACATTGAACTTTATAACGAATGCAACTCGTAATTGTAAAGTATTTATAAAAATTGATGCAGCAATAGAACACGACTTGGACAGTCTAAGTAGAAATAGCAAAGAATGGTCAGACGGAGCACGAAAATTTTATTCAGTTGCTTGTGTGGTCCATAAATTTTTCAAATTCAATTATCTCAGAAACAAAACAATTTCAATTCACATTTTCGACTTTACTTTTCTCAAAGAGTCACTTCTTTCCGGATGTACCATAATTACTGGGACATCTTGCGTGTAGTTAATATTAAGCTCGTTAAAGAGGACATTGGATAAGTAAATTATTCTATAGTTGGTCGATCCCCTGGTAATATTATATCTCTGTGAAATTAGGTCTCTATACACCCGTACCTCTCCAAACGCCGTGCATAAAAGCGATATCGCCAAACGAAGGATGGACGTCAGGTGGGTCCACAGTAATAATCATTGGTGAAAACTTCTTCGATGGACTTCAAGTAGTTTTTGGGTCGATGTTGGTTTGGAGCGAGGTGTGTAATTCAACCTTTTATATAAAAATGTGTCCAAAAATCAAAGCCGGAATACCTTCGCAATAAATAAATTAATTTTCATTTTACTCGAAAAACAAAGAAGCGACCGATATAAGATCCATCCATCGGACTTGGATATGAATCCTTTTTGTTGTTTGTTTTCAGTTAATCACGCCAAATGCGATCAGAGTACAAACTCCGCCGAGACAGATACCAGGTGTCGTTGAAGTCACACTATCCTATAAGACTAAACAATTTTGCAAAGGGGCGCCTGGTAGATTCGTTTACGTTTGTAAGTATAATTACTTAGTATTTTATAATATGAGGCTGCACATCATCGTGCACGATGCATTATTAAAAAAGTCAATTATATCAAATTATTTACGATTATAAGTGTAAACTTTTATGCATATGGAAATGTTAATATTTTTACAATTGAAAGGACTTACTAAGTGATTTTTGTGTTTTTAACTAACTGTATATTTTATTATTTATTGAAGCGACTATAAAATGCACCAACCAAATTTTGAATTTTTGTATTAAACAGCAATAACACAGCAATAAACTAATCTCTCAATTACGTTTTTAAACGTTGCTGTCTACAAATAGTATTTAATATAAAAGTAGTAAAAAATTGCAAAATATAGCTCAAAATTCCAGGGTCTAATGCTACACTTACTAACATTGTCTATCAGTCTAAAATTAAGAATTAACTTATCAAAAATAGTAAAGGATACTATTATGTTGGGGCTAAAACAAAAATTGTTGCCAATTTTTCCTCATTTTTGTTGAGAAAATCTAATCTAATTTTCACCCCTCATTCTAATTAATTTTCTATGAGGGTCCAATGCTATACTTACTAACATCGTTTACCACTGCCTAAAATTAAGAATTAATTTGCCAAAAATAGTAAAGAATATTGTTTTATTCTATGTTGGGGCTAAAACAGAAACTGTTGCTAATTTTTCAGCATTAAATGAGCCTACGATCGACTACGGCTTCCAAAGGTTACAGAAGCTTATTCCGCGACATCCTGGCGACCCCGAAAAATTACCGAAGGAAATTATACTGAAGAGGGCGGCAGATCTGGCGGAAGCTTTATACAGTATGCCCAGAAGCGGAAACGCGGGAATCACAGGTGCTCCAAGGAGTCCGGGATCGGGTCATCCGCCCGCGCCTCCGACCTCCAGTTCAGCGACGGCGTTCAACTCATACACAGGGCAACTTGCAGTGGCGGTACAGGAAAATGGTAGTGCGGCGAAATGGACAGACGGTAAATATTCAAACTCATTCCATTCATTTTTTTTCAACGACCAGTTTCGATGTCTCGAATTAATAAATTCTATTTAGAAACGCGAAACATCGACGCCGATCGCGATCTATTTCTGCAAACAAGGTCAACTACTAATACTTGAACACATCATCCAGAGCAATCAAACGTTTTTTAACGGCTGGTTTGTTTCTCATATTTGCATGATCTCATTGCAATCGCGAAAAGAATTCTTGTTTCTTTTCACAGTGTAAACAGACGAAGTAGAATTTAAAATATTGATGAAGATTGAAGTCTCTATATTTTTCACTAGTATCTAGTTGGAAATGCGGTATTGACGAGCTTTTCCTAATGAAAATGACTCCAAACACGGTATAATTTCGACTATTTTTTATCGTGAGCGATTCAAAATTTTTCAAAAATGATTTTTGAAGAAACTTTGTTAATATATTGATAATGCAATGTTTATTTTATATTATCGATTTTGGATAAGCTTGTACGCTTATTTCAGTGAAATTTTGAGATACAATTGCAATTTCAGCCGTAGATGACCAGCAAATTACAGAAAAATTAGGTGTAGAATTCTATCAATCATTAATTTGATTGCAAACCTGACAAACCTTATATTTTCGTGTGCAGGAGATTGTAGTTGACGTTAGAAAAGAATCGAGTTGGAGGTGTATAATGATTTCTGTATCCCATACTAAACAAGACTAGCAAACAGATCGTATTTCAATTTCATCAAAATCCCTAACACCAAACTCAAAAAGTGATTTACAATGACCATCTCGACGCTTCTCTGGAGCATCAAAATACAGTAATGCTTTGGATATTGGTAAACGAAACTGTCCAAAATTGAAAGGAGATCTTCCAGGAAAGCATCTCCTTTTCTCAGGAAGTGAAATAGCCACCCATAAACATGGCTCATCGATATTTTAAAAATTGAAAAACATAAACATATTCGCCGGGATAAGCGAGTAGCCATTTCCAAGAACTATTGAGAACTAAATCGCGGCCAATTTCCAAAACATCACTGTACCAAAATTGTCCACCTCGACCCTGTCTTCAGCGCATAGAGACTCGAGTTAAAATCGCGAAACGTGATCGTCCGTGTTTCCGAATCTGTTGTGTCCGTTCCAGTGCATTAGGCAACACGATAACAGAATGATGAAATACTGACGGGTTCGTCTGACGGGCAGGTTTCTATTTTTAGACGGTAGTTCCGTGACGACAGGAGCTGGTGCTGGAGGCGGTGGCGGTGGTAGCGTTGGAGGAAGCGTCGGTGGCAACGTCGACGCCTATAGGCAGAGCAGTAGCGCGAGTCCACGTGGGGTTGTAACCGGTGGCGGTTATTGCGGAAGTTCGGCCAGTACGCCTCACAGTCACAGCACCAATGGAAGTTATTCCGTCGCCAACCCTTACACCGGTAGCCCGACGCTTTACACATCGCGTAAGTATTTTCTTACGCATTTTCCAAATCTTTCCCGCCTATTCTCTCCTCGTTTTAACATACTTCTTCGGCTATTCAAAGTGTATCGACGGTGGGGATTGGCAAATCATAATTCTGGATTATACCCACTTCGTTGGGCCACAGAGAGACATTGAAAGTGGGTCTGAGTTGTTCAAGTGCACAAATAATATCGCTATTCTTGTTAATTTAATTAGAAATTTGATATGTATTGTTTTCTTTTATGTGTATATTTTTAAACAGTTATGCAAAAGAAATTTTTGAATTGTCTACATTAAATGAAATATAGTTCTAATAAAAGGAATAGGACCCTTATTGATGATTAGTAAACTGGCCTCTGTAATTGCTTTTATTATTTGTATGCTTATTTTGTAGTACATGTGAAATCAAAACCGAAGGTAATTATTTTTTATTGTAGAAGTGTATGCACAATTCGTGTCCCCTTTTCCACTCTTCAATTATTATTTATAATTATAAAATTTTCCATCAATTTCGTACACAAGTGTATCTAAAAAAAATTATTCAATTTTTATAATTCTTCTACCAAAAATATAAAATTTCAATTTATTTTATAATCAAATTTAGTAAACTCGTATATCCTACTTTAATATAAAATAAAACATAACGCTGTGAAACGCTGCTTCGTCGTGTTAATAGGTAACATTTTTACGCGCAGCTTAAAGCAGTTTCTAAGAATAACGCGAACGTGAACGATAAAATGTGGGAACGGGTGGCTTGAGGAAGGATCGTTTACGTCGATACACTTCGATTTGCATTTCGTTATTATAAATGCACGTAGATATGTAGCTAGACACTGAGGACCTAACACGCACGCGCTTCTCATGTTTAGCATTTCGTTGGAATCGCACGCACTTTATGATTTTCCCTTATATGAAATTTTCGTTTTAGCGCACGAACAGTATGGCATTTTCTATACGTCTGGGGATGGGAGTGCGTTCGCCCCCGTAGTACGACCACCGACCACCTCAGTCCCACCGCACTGGTCCACACAGCACCACCTCGCCACAGCCGCCCAGTAACCGCTAACCGTCCACCATCACAACCACCATCATCACCACCACAACCACCCTATGCACTGCGATTAAAGAATTATGAGAAATATGCACGAGAGACGAGATTCGAGAATGTATGTACACACGTTCATTTACGAATCGTTGCTAACCCCCCTCCCTTCCTTAATTTATTCGACGTCGTATCGAATTAGGGGCACTGGAAATTAATGAGAATAGTCATTAAAAAACTATTTCTTATATTATTTGCATTTAAAGCTCGTTGTCTCGATCCACTGGAATTTTACTTCGACTCTACATACCCAAAGAAATTTCAGCAATTCCTACCGATCGTACGACTAGTGTACGATAAAAGTGGACCATAAATTGTTTATTTAATTGAAAATTAACGTAGCCAGCACCTTTTTTTAAATAATTGTTTTCTCTAGAACTAACTAAGGTACCAACTTGGAACAAGATTCGTTTTCAAGGGTGTTTTATCTTCTAGTTGATCAAGGTATACACGAAGTATCATTAGGTTTAGTGTTAAGATATATGTGGGGAAAAAGGCAAAACATAAATATAAAATATGGGGAATAATGTAAAAAGGAATGAAACGTTTGCATCGAATATTGAAATCTTGGTTCCCAACTGGCAAGAAGTTATTGAAAATGATGCGGATAATAATTCAGAAATTAAAATAAGTATTACTAAAACAGATTACGTTAGTTTCTGGTACCCCTAATATTTCAATTACCTCAGTGCAAATACATTAACACGTTAAACGCCGCGTCGGTCACGGGTGACCGGCGATACATATAAAATAAAACGATCAGATTCTGCTATCCTTTTTAAAAAGGGATCCTTTTGCATCCTTTGTCAAACTTCAATTTCATAGAAACTTTTATCTATCTACAAAAGTTCTAACTGTTGTATACAAAACAAAAAGAAGACATAAAATAACAATTACATTCTCGACTGTTTTAGAATATTCTAAAACTCGACAGCACTTTTTATCAAATCAAAAGCACATTTTACTCGAAAAGCTGAGTACAAATACGCTATTTAGTTAACTGGGCGCTTAACGTGTTAAATAATAATATTAATGCAAATTTTTCCTAAAGTCCAATCGATAGCGTTAATATCTACTTATCAGTGTACTGTGCAGTGCTGAAAAGATGACAAGCAAAAGGAATACGATTGGCCACAGTGGATAAGTCGCGCCATCGAACACTCACATTTTCATATACAATGTTGTGTACGCACATTGTTATGCACAACACATTGAAGTTGAAATGGTCGTTTGGGGTTAGATATCTTATCAGATATCATAACTTCAGAATAATAATTTATCTACTGACATAAACTGAAAAATTGATCAACCAACTCAAGTTTCTCCTATAGAGACACCAAAGGTCACCGATGACCTTTTGATCGAATACACCCTTCTTACCCTCGTGTCGCCCCTACTAATCATCTTTCCAGGTCTGCACAGTATAGAAAATACTTGTATGGTACAACAAGTATAGTAAAATTCTCATATTCTCGTTTCTGTTGCTACATGCCTTGCTTCGAAGTTTTCTTTTGGGACACAAATGATTCATACTCGATAGGATTACTATTCCTTTACATTTTGCATTAAATTGTGGAGACTGTCGATTGCTTTCGTCGGTAAATTCTTAATTAATGGGTCATCGATTTACAAAACTATACTCATAGACCTCTACTTCGAGATACAACAAATTGTCGTCGTTAACTAACTTTCACTTAAGTAACTTTCACTTACATATTTCTAAATTACAAATCACTTCTTTTATATCTTACATCTATTTATTATCTTTTATATTTGAATCGAGTAAATATTTGAAGAATTGAACTAAGAATTCCAAATTTTAGTTCTTCGTTTAATTTAATCTTTCGATTTCTTTTATTGCGATAGTCAGAAGAGCTTGATGACTTAGAAAATTTATTTTGATGTTTTGAAATGTATATATATATTAATCTTCACGCTTATTAACAGTGCAAGAACGATAGACATTTTTAAATAATCTTTTCGAACAACATTGAATCCCTAATGATCCAAAGGAATAAACTTCGAACGCAAGTGGCTATGATGTAACAGAAATTCAACAGCGATTAATAATGTGATTTTTCATTTCTTAGCTACTTTTTTAGTCACGGAGTCATGGCGAATTACACTAACGTATAACCGACAGTGGGTATGTTGCAGGACTAGGAGAGGTTGTCGGTTCACCGTTCAACATGAATCCGTTTATGTTGCCCACCTGCAGCCAAGGGTACTCAAACGCCGCCAGTCCGCTGCTCTCGTCAAGTAACAAATAGTGTTACGAGATGTAAAACTCAAGTATCGAAGTGTTGCGTCTACGTAGATGCGAAATCCGTCGGCACGAACTGTTTCCGCGGTTTCTAACGTTCTCATAATCGTCGTACACGTGGTTGACAATCGCTTTCTCGAACTGAAATCGGTCCTATCGATGTATGTTTTGCTTTTTACTCCCAGCAATCGCGCGAACGGAAGAGGAAACCATTCTCGTCGGGGCACAGAGACGAATCAAATTCGGGAGAATATCGAAACCAGTGCAAAAAAAGAAAAGTTGATAGCGTTTTATGATTAATGATCGAATAAGTTAAGAAACGATACATATCGAAGAACACGGTGTCTTCTGCGTCTATCGACGTGGCCGTTCGGTTCGACTGTTTCGAATGTGTACAACTTTCTTGTGAAAACAAATCTCTATTAACAGAAAATGGAAATTTAAACACTCGTTTTCCCGACATTAAGAAATAATCTCCAAGTCAACACCTTTCGAATGATACCTAATTTATCTATTTTAAAATACACGCTTAAGTCAATATAAGGTAAAAGATCTAATAAGAAATAGATTAATTATTAATTCTACTGTTCATTTTATTTATTTATTACTATCCAGTCTTTTTAATTTAACCAAGAGATACTGCAACTTTTAAAATCTCTATTTTTGTTTCTAAATTCAGTAATTTGAGAAGAATGTTTTAGGATCTATTACTGCCACCCCTGAAATGTGTTCAACCGAATTACTAACACCTCAATTACTATAAACTGGACAAATACTGTCGAGATAAAAGATCTTAAAAGATTTACGTCAATATCTACGTTTCCTTAAATAGCTAAAACTTTGTAATGCATCGACGAACAATAATATCAATGACAAACGACAACTGTCGAAAGCTTCCCTAATGTAATTTGTTGGTAACAGTACGAAATGCCTAAACAACCTAACAGTCTCATAAATTGCGTTCTATCTGTTAAAGAATATAACATTATTGATATGTTGAACGTTCGTTACGGAAGTTAATGAAAGTTTACCAAGAAAAGTAAGTTGCTTTAAACGAAAACAACCGAACGGCCATAGTTCTTTTCGCGTGGTGGATTATGCTACTTTCGACGTAGCTATCACGACACGAAGAGATCATTTTTATCGATAGACACGAAATACCTTCTTTAGCCTGCGTCTTCTCTCGTACGTGGAATAGCCGAGCGATCGAAACTTGCGACAGAATATTTTTGAAGCGTTTTCCTTCGATTTTGTAGGTACATAGGTGCTCTCAGAAATTCACCAAACAATTCGGGAGTTGAAAAGCGACGGTAATATACGTGATCGGGGGGTCGTTCACAGGGTGTCGAGCAATTTTATATCAAACCGAGCGGAGAAGTGACGAGGGTCGAGAGAAAAAGACACCCACTTGACGGACATATCGCTTATCATTGAATAACAGACATCATAGTTTTAGAGAACATTTTCGACTTTGAAATTTTATCTTCCTACCCCTACATTTTAAGAAACTAACCAATATCAGCTAGGTAGCGTAACGTCTAACATGTAATTTGTAAATTTTCTTGTAAATATTGTTACGATGTACAAAAAGACAGAATTATTTCTAGGAATCCAACGAAACGATATTAACGTGATTGTAGGACGAAAAATTATTATATATAGGTGTAAATAATCGTAGAGCGTCCGTAGCTTAATACGTATGATTGTGTGATGATAATGGCGGCGATCCATTTTTTTAACGTGCAGACAACCCGTGCGTATAGTCGGTAGGAAAGGTATAGTGAAGTCCCGAATGACCAAAATCGAGGAGAAAAGTAGGGGAACAATAAATGGAACAAGGTTACCAAAATTAACTGTCTTTTTCATCCCGTTTGAGATTCATTCCACGTGATGATCGTCGAGACTAATAGTATTCCATCATTATTTCCCATTGCTTTATTAACAGAATAATAGAAAAGGAGATGGAGCGTAAAACTGAAGAACTCCTATACAAGCAATTCCCTATCAATGTTGATTCAAATTTTTTTAAGTAGAATGGTAAAATATTCTTTCAATATTGTATTAAACCAAAGTAAATTAGTTATAATGATTGAAGACTGATCAAAATCGAGACCGCCAAACGAACGTTTCGCAATTGTAACACTTTGCAATTCTATAAACATCGAACGAGGACTGACCATAATTCATTGCCATTCGAATTTAAACACCTCGAAGATCCGTTTATATTCTATTTGTGATTATTCGTTAAAATACACAGTGAATCAAAAAATTATTGTAATTATTTAAAAATGTTAAAATCATACAAAATGTTATGAATGACGAATTATGTTACACGCAAAATATAAGATGGAAACACTCAACCTGGATATAAATGGACCTGAAAGAATGTTTTCAAAGTGCTCTCCATACTGTTACATACGAAACAGTTTTTTCAGAAAAACTTTTTAACTTTGAGAGCACTTAATTTCGAATTTTCTTTAACTTTCCCTATTATAAAACGTTCTTCCAATGTGTTCAAAGCTCTTAAAGGTCCATTTATAACGTGGCGTTATGTCACAGCGTTACACACGATGAAAAATTAATACAATTGACGAGGGAACAGAAATTTCTTTTTATCTTATCACGCGTAAAATATAAGATAGATGTGTAAATGGACCTTTACTCGTATCGTCTGTGTTTAAATTCAACAACGAACGTGCTCGATAAAGTTCACTATATTCCTTTCGCCGACCGTACATCCCGAAACGTTTTTCGCCAACAGTCGCATAATATTAAATTCGTCAACAGAAAAGCCCATGAAAACGAAGTCTGAACCATCATTGATAACATTAGCGTCAATGGGCCACGTTAAAGACTGGATCGACCTGTGACAACTGTGTAAAACGTATAGTTGATTTTGGATCGTTTGATAAGCCGGCCCAAAACAAAATCCCGCACCAAACGAATCTCACGAAAGTATACGAAGCATGTAACAGAATCGAGAAACCCTAATTAGTCCAGATTTTGCAACAGTTTGCGAACGTAGATCGTATCGTTTGTCGGAACGAGCAACATTAAAGAAAATTATTCTAGACAGTTCCTTTTTGCATATCGACTTGGCGGGCATCCCTCGACGGCGGAAGGATGCGCCCTTTGTCCCGGGAGCCACACACGCTCTGTGATCTTGTGATCTTGATTGCAATATTTGATTATCACATTTCGTTCGATCACGCAATGTTATCTTTTGCATGGCGCGTCGTTCTCGTACGCGTGCTGGCGCACAGTCGCGTACAGACGCCCGTCAGTGTATATTATAATAAATTAAACTTACATTTTTGAGAATTAACACCGATTGTTCATGATTCTTTCGTTGGTACCCATCTTTGGATTTAGATCGTTATTGCGCTTGGAAAAGTAGTCTTATGGGTTTAACGCAACGGTAAGTATTATTAACCTTCGAACAACGAGCCTAGGGTCCATTTTGATCCGACCTGTATATTCTTTTTTAAATTTCTGATCGAATTTTTGTGTTATTTTATATCGTATAAGTTCTTTGTTTCGTCAATTTTACAAACTCGATGCAAAGTTATTTATCAAAAACCTATATTTCTATATTAAAAAGAAAATAAAAAAATCAACGGCTCCATAACACCATCGAGTTTCTTTAATTTTCATTTAATCAGTTTTCTATCCGAATGGTTCGTTCATTAAAGGGCGATTTGACGTTTGCCCGCCATCTTTGCGCCGTTGCATTTATTTTCAGCGCCCCAGCGGTTTTTGCTCCCAGGAGAAACCACGTCAGGATCAACAAATAACGAAACAGGATCTCGAGGACCACTTCATAGCGATTAGTTCACATGGTGTCCTATTACCTCCAGCCGCCAAACGGTAGTACGCACGATACACGTTATTGTAAGGTTGTTTGCGTTATTAGATTTAGATTGGCCGACACGTGGCGGGCAACCCCGCCATGCCCATAGGTCGCCACGTGCGCCATTGCAAACGTTACATGGGGCACAATGCGAGACCATTTTTCTTACAATATTGGTTCCCTTGCCGGTTCCTGCGAAAACATACTCTTTCATCGATGATTTGTCATCTCGCTATTATTTTCCTCAATGCACCAGCGCACAGACCGATCAATTATTCGTGTAATCGTAAATTGTTTCTCCCCTTCGTGTAACTTATTCATTTCATAATTAGCCACCGTTGTTTCCAAACAATTCGTCAAAACTATTGTTGAAATTGTGGCCAGTTGGAAGAAATCGAACGTGAGTTGCAACGTATAATAAAAGCGTCGTACAGTGGGGTATTCGCGCCCCCCAAAATAAACATGCAACTAGAATTATACATTTATGCCTTATTTTTTGGTTTTATGTAATCAGTATATACATATTCGATGAAAAATAGTAAATAAATGTGATTTAAGCAATTTAGTTTTATCAAAAATTTATATAAAATGAAAAAGTTTCAATTTTAATTATAGTAATTGACTCCATTCTCTTCCCCCATATTTTTCTAATTAAATTTCAATTTGCAGTTTCGTCATTATTATTTTTGATACGTGCCAAAGGAGAAACTATTGATTTTGTACTATACATACACCCATACCATAATTGTCTGTTTTAGTTAGCTTGTTCTAAATGTGAAAAGGAAATAAATGATTCGATCACCTAATAAATAATATTAAGAGAATATAAAACTTAAATTATCTTCTTCCAGCTACTCGAGTTAAGTGTATTTAATGCTTGGAAACTTTTTATATTTCCAAAACATAATTTGTTTATGAGTTTAGAAAAATTTTTATTTCACTAAATATGGTTTATATCGTATAGTCAGCATTATTTATGCTTTTCAAACTGATGAATATTATTTCGTTTAATTTTTTTAATTGAAAAATGTATAACTGAACATTTAAAAATTTTACTATTTATGGAACTGATCGATGGAACTACTGGGCCAATATCAACTACTAATAGGCTTTTTCGTTGAGTTGTTTCGACCCTTCTGGTACAAAGAACACGGTTCCCCCTGCCCGCCAATCCACCACGAGCCGACAGCTTAGTTCTTTGGCACGTGCAATCTCATAAAACACTATGCAAGACCTGCAACGCCCAATCTAATTGGAATCTCTACAAAAAAAAATTTCAAGCGCTAATTTTTACAAAAAATCCGAAAGCTTTTGTTTACTTCTAAATTCGTTGCTTTTAATATTTTTAATATTCAAATTAACCCTTCAAGTATTATTTTTGACTAAACCGTAGGGCCAATCTATCCATAATTTAATTAATTTATTACAATGTCGAATAGCATTTATGTCATTCTTAATATTTAAACAAAGAACACATTACCATCTAGAAGACTGATCTTGAATTATTAATGAATTTAGAAAACTCAGAAAATAAGTTTTCTTAAATGTTTCCTGGAGCCAATTCTTATTAGTCTCATAAAAATTCACAAAATGGTATGAAAACAAAAATGGTTCGTTATGTATCATTTTCTTCCCAAAAATGTTCAGTCCCAAAAATAATGCGAAAGTATAAATAGAGAAATGACTTACCACTTATCAGGATATAGTTACCAACGGGTCACCAAGGGTTCATCTCTAAAATAAGAAAATATTCACAATATAACAAAATCAGTTGAACAGTTGAATAAAATTAAATTGAAATCAAACAATAAAATTAAAGAGGAGAGAAGAGTGTTAAATAAATCTTACCACATTGATCAGCAGATGTCAACTTTCGTTTATTAATTACCAAGGATGGCCATGATTTGGAATTTGGAAGTTGAGGATGTGCTTCGATCAATCCTAGAATATAAAAGAATTTAGATTACACGAATTTCGTGGTGTTCTTATAGAAATTTTATCCAGTGTACATCGAGGTTGTACCGCGCGAGTCCTTTACGTCACAATATCGGGGTAGAATTTGAGTCGGGCGTCAAAGGGGATGAACCATCGGACGGCGGCAGGGATAGGAGCAATCCGTTGATGCACCCTTGACAGTTCATCGCGATAAGATCTGCTCTTTCGACGAGTCGGATCCATTTGAATTCTGTTTGTGGACCCCAGTGACGCTACCCTTCGACTATATTGTGCTACTATCGATGTAAAAGAATATTACCATCTGCTGATTACCGACAAGGCCTCTTTGAGCTCTTTCGACCGACATCACGCGTGCCAGCACCTATCTGTCCTTTTCTTCCGCTTTGTGTTACTCCAGTCACACTTTTCTAGGCGAGAAAGCGTCACCCCTACGCTGCCATGATGAGGATCTAATCACGAAACTCAGCTGACGACGATTTCTAAAAGAATCACAAGTAAATGTAATTAGATATATGTACAGAATATACAAACGATTCAGTCTTTTAATATATTACATACAAATATATTATTTCATCGTATAAAGTAACATGAAATATATTATAAAATTACGTAATTAACGATGACTAAATGTAGTTAGATATATGTACTAATATAAAGAACCATGTCCCCACATCGCCAGGTTGGCCGAGCGGTCTAAGGCGCCCGATTTAAGCTCTGGTTCCCGATAGGGAGCGTGGGTTCGAACCCCACACCTGGCAAATATCTTTTTTTTTCTCTAAAATTATATAAAAGGAGGTATTATGACATTAACAATCATTGAATGATCATGAAACTATTACAATCAAGTAATAAATATATTTTACTACATCAGCTACACCTGGCAAATATCTTTTTTTTTCTCTAAAATTATATAAAAGGAGATATTATGACATTAACAATCATTGAATGATCATGAAACTATTACAATCAAGTAATAAATATATTTTACTACATCAGCCATATATGGGTGACAGGATTCTTCACTAAAAAAACAAAAAAGAAGAAATATGGATAGAAGTCATTAATCTTGATGGAATTATAAAAATAAGCAACAATTTTTAAATTTATCTAATTATAATTAGTCAGAAAATAAAACTTTGATCTCATAGAATTATACACAGGTTTGGTATAATTCTTATTATTTTTACTGATTATCATAAACTTATTCGATTCTGTTTTTAAAAGTCTACTGGAAATTATAAATCTCTATGTATTTGTTCCGCTGATGCGTTATTAATTATGGCAGAACAATTATTTATACTCCGGATTATTTTTCCCGTACAAACCTTTTAATTTAACAAAGTTATTAAACATAAATTGGTTTCGGTTGGAAACGTGTTAAGGATTTGAATTTTGATACTATCGATCACTTTAGGTGTCTGTGAAACGATGCGTGAATACTTTCAACGACTTTAGTAGTCCGTGAAATATTCTGCATATAGCACAAGAATAATTACATCAAACACTTTCGACGTAATGCTAGTTGAAATAGTATTTTGAGGAATAATATTGAAGATGATAATTGTATATCTGAAATACTGAACATACATTACTGATAGCTTCTACGAACTGCATAAACGCTTAATGGACTCTACGACCAATAAATGGGGTTAAGAAGTCAAATGCATTCTTGACCTTTCATGAAAACGTCACCAGTTTCGACATCGATCAAGATATCTGCTCGAATACACTTTATTTCATCATGTATATCGTCCAAAAAATGTATTATTTGTACATATTCAATGAAATATTCTACAATATTGTACAATTTACGACTGAATGTACTTACACGCATATATAAGTATAAAAAAACATGTAACCACGTCGCCAGGTTGGCCGAGCGGTCTAAGGCGCCCGATTTAAGCTCTGGTTCCCGATAGGGAGCGTGGGTTCGAACCCCACACCTGGCAATAACTTTTTTTTTCCCTGAAAATAATGTAAAATTATTAGCAATTATTAGCAAAATTATTAGCAATCGTGCAACCATCATAATAAAATAACAAATGCATCGAATTAAAAATTAAAACACTTGTTACAACTCCTAGTCACAATTTTACTATTTGTCATGAAATTATTCAATCCTTTTCTTATCAGTCGATCAGTGTATCTTCAAAAACACATATCTTATATTTAAGTCGCATTAATATTAGTGAAAGTGAAAGATGACTCCTCTGAACTTTTAAGTTTTTAAAATTTTTAGTGTTACAAAAATGAATAGAACAAGTTAAAATAGAAGGAATAGTAAAAGAAACTCATATAGGTAGCATATAGTAATCGACTTTAAATTTGATACTATCGATGACTTTAGTTGTTTTCCATAAAATGATTTGTTAGTACTTCGACGACTTTAGTAGTCCTACGCGAAATATTCTGCATATAGCACGAGATTAATTACATCAAATACTTTCGACAAAATGCTATTTGAAATATTATTTTGAGGAATAATGTTGAAAATGATAATTGTATACCTGAAATAGTGAACACACATTACTGGTTGCTCGTACGAACTGCGAAAACACTTAATGGACTCTACGACCAATGAATGGGGTTAAGAAGTCAAATGAATTCGCGACCTTTCATGAAATCATCACCAGGTTTGACATCGGTCAAAGTACCTACCAGAACACGCTTTATTTAATCGTGGATATTATTCAAAGAACGTATTATTTGAGCATATTTAATGAATTATATTATAAAATTATGGAAATAATGACTATATGTATGTAGTTGGATTCATGTAGTGATATAAAGAACGGTTTCTCCACATCGCCAGGTTGGCCGAGCGGTCTAAGGCGCCCGATTTAAGCTCTGGTTCCCGATAGGGAGCGTGGGTTCGAACCCCACACCTGGCAAATATCTTTTTTTTCGCTAAAATCATGTAAAATTATTATCTATTATTGAGCAACCATCATGATTAAATAATAAATGTGTTTAAATTCAAAGAAAAACACTTTATGATAACAAATTAACACCGAAAGAGCCAACCTTGCCAAGGAAAAATAGTGACAACTGAGAATTGAATTATTAACTATTTTAATGATCTATGTAAACTTGACTCTTCGAGTAATTTGTTGGAACGGTGCATAAAAACAGAGGAAATTGTACAAAATATTATCTATTATTATGTTTTAAAAAATATTATTGTCACTTTCGTAAAAATCTCGCGCCAATTTCATGGCGTTTTATAATTAACATGCGTATGTAGAGTAGCAATAAACAAGGGATACGTATTAGTTTTAACTTACACTTGCGAAACTGCTTTTCATTATGGTGATTTGGTATTAAATGCAACATTTGTATACATAATTTGTAGATGAAAATATGTACTTCCTTGACAACAATAGGAAATTATACACACTTAATCCTTAATCGCTATATGGACGTAGAACCCAATTCGATCACACTGTGTTTGGAAAAATTAATTACATTTTATACACACATAAATCACAAGTTTTCAAATACTGAAACATTCGCCTCGCGTCCAGGTGTTTCGAAACTGTTCTCACGTTCTGTTACGCAATTTGATAAAAATACATTATTAATCAAGTTCGTGGTATTGGTTTTGTACAGTTTTAATTACAATTAATTAAATAATAAATAGTCTGCAAACGGGTGAGAAATTGGTGGTTAATGTTCCATACAATCTATACTCCATCTGCAACTTACTTGCATATATTTCGTTTACATCGTAAAAATAAAAACATGTCCTTTAAAAACAAAATAAAAATGCTGCTTATAATGTATACTTTGTAATCTATATACATTTGAACTTTACAGACTATGAATTACAGCTTGAATAATTTGAGTATCAATTATAATTTAAATAGTTATGTTATTATCGAAACTTCCGGTTCATTAATGATCAGAGGCGGGTCGAAACCTAATTTCCAATTTCTCGAAGCTCTTGAAACTCTAAATTTTCAGGAAATGTAGATCTAAATACTTAATTTTTTCTCATATTTTTAGAAACTATCCATTTTATTGTAAGCATGGTTAAATTCATAACAAATTGTTTTTACAGAAAATCATTTAACGTAACAAGTATAAAAAAGGCTGAAGTAGAAAATTAGAAAACAATAAATGTGAACACTTTCAGAAAATAATAAAAATAAAGGATCAAATTTTAGTATTTACTTATAAAATTATCTAATCAAAATTCTCGTTTAAAAATATTAGCATACGAGTTCTTTTCGAGCCTAGACTTCTTTTTTTATCAACTATGATGCCCACCGTATGCCATAATTAATATTTGTAAAATAAACGAATGTTTATGCAAAAATTAAAATTTACGTAAATTACTATTTCCTTAAGTTTGGAGAGTTTCGAATTATACGAATAAATAAGAGCTTCGACAATTTTCGAATGACCCACCCCTATTAACGACGAAAAGTTCGATAACTATAATACTCTGTTACTTCTTAAATTAAAATTTCTCGAGCAAAGTGACTTTCCTCGTACAAATGATAAAAAGTGATTACATCACGTGAACTAAGTATGTACATTTATATAAAAAGTATTTGTAAAATACTTCAACGAATTAACAACATTACTGAATAAATACATAAACGAGTATTTCGTTTAGGGAGGAGGTAATGTTACTTATAGATAATTAAAATGTGGTTAATGACTTTCAGAGTATTGTGTCTGTGTGTACGTATGACATAATTACACGGAAGATCTAGGTGTGTCGGTTGCGGATAATGTTAGCACTCGTACAATTTTATAAATCTAAGAATCACTCGTACTCGTGTATTCGTAACTGGCGTTAAATTGGATTTATTAACAATTGATAAAATTAAATTTGTTGAGCGTGGTTATGCAATGTATTGCACCGCTGTGGAGCTCTTTTTCTTTCCGTTGTTGATTGTTGTATGGTCGTCCCTTTCTCATTCAACAGTATTATCTGTTGTATGTACAATGTCGCGTCTTATATACTACTGCAAGAAGCCCAAACACAGCCAATCAGAACAATCAGTAATATCCCGTTTACATTAACGAAACGGTAAAACTATTACCGTAAATCGCTTGTAGCGTTAACGTAAACGTCGAAATGCTATTGTAAAAATGGAAGGGCATGATTCGCGACCCAACAAAATTATTCGTCATAGTACATTGTGTACATAATATATAGTACTACCTCCGGCGGAGGTGGTCATAACCACAACGAAACGTGTAAAAAAAGTAGGAATGTATTCGTTACTGTGAGGCTACATGAAATCATTAGATAATTTACACGGTATAATTACAATACGCAAAACACAATACGTTTCACTGTACTTTCGTGTACGATCGTAAAAGTGTTAATCTATGTTATATACGTTACCGCTAAAATTACTAAAAATCGTTAGGATACCGTAATTCCGGATGAAATATTAAAATAAAGTTGCTATTGTAGTTCTCGAAATTGATCGAAGGAAACTACTTTTGGTTCCAGATATGCTTTCATGTCGTTAAATCCGCTCTCGGCCGACATTCTCAAGGTATATCATTGATCTAACTTTCACGTTCATAAAAATATTACCTAATCTTTACGACATATCATCTGAGAATAGAAAAATATATCAAGACGATAAACGTTGACAGATTTGTGAGCGTCCCTGCGGACGCGCAATGGAGATTGTCTCTGTGATAATATGTCGCGGGTGGGTGTTCGTCGCCTGGTTTACAATGTTCCCGCTTTTCTTTTAGTTCAGCCTGAAACAAATAAGAATGACCATTGGATTCCATTGTTCCTTTCAGCTTTAGTTCACTTTCACTCTTGTTGGTCCAATGATCAAGTTCCATTCGATTGGTTTGCAGTTCTCATGCAATTTTTTATAACTTAACCCCTTGTCTGTTCTGCAATCTTAACAAAATTGACCCAAAAATTGTCTGCGTTTTTCTTTTAGGTTATTTAATGTAACAGAAATTACATAAATATTTAAATTTAAATACGTATTATTAACTCTTTGCACTCAGAATTATTATATTTCAGTTTTGTTCCCAGCAGCTCCCAATGCCTTTAAGTGTTTTATTTGAAATTTACCTGTTAAAATATCTGTTTTATTTACACTGTTCTTGTATTTTGTAATTTTCAAGTGTACGGTATCTCTTTGGTTTGGACTTGAAAAAATGTCCAGTGGGACTTGATGAAGGAGCTCCTGAGATAAAAATTGATATTGAATCACACTCGACATAGGAGTGCAAAGGGTTAAATACGAAGCTCTTAACACGCTCTTATAACACTATAAAACAAGTACCACAAGGGGTTAAATTTATACCTTACAAGGGAAGTCAAGATTGGAACTAAAGCTGTTTGGAAAAAATGAGGCTTAAAATTCAAGGAACAATGAATATAAACAAACAAATTCCAGATTATCAACCACAAATACTCAACGATTTTTATAAAATATGTTTCTGGGATCCTCTGCTACATGTTTTCTTGTCTCTCGAGAAAATCTTCTATAATTTCTTCTAATCACAATAGCAAACACAACACAGTACACTTTCGGAGAATTTATCGTTCGCAAAACTAATGCGAACTAATTCGAAAAACGACAAAATGTTAGGTTAATTTTATCGATAATCTCGCGATTGCGTATAAATAAATTTTTTTATTCCACATTTGCCTCTGAAAATAGTTCAAATTTGGGGACGTTTTTGTACATCCTCGAAGCTAAATCACGCGAAAAATAGTGAGTTCATATTTAATTAAATTCTGTTCTCTGTTTTCTCATTTTGGGAATAAAAATACAGGGCTATGTCGGTTTAGAAAAATGTATAAACTTAATCTATTCTTACCTGACAAATATCTCGACAAGGAGGGCAAGTCAGAGCGCCTTTATGGAGCCAGCCATTTTGCAGTATCCTAACGGCAATTTCTTGGCCAGCGTGATAACAAGTATACGTGTAATTTGCCACCTGTAAAATGAAATTAACGTTCTCATACATTTTTAATCGATTTCAATAAATTATCTTGAAATTGAATTAAATTTCGCTGTAAACTGACCACGATATGCAATCTTCCAGCTTCGCATATGTATTGATAACAACCAGAGCCCCAATGTTGCCACTGTCGAGCTTGTTTGCAGGTCTTTTCCTCCCACATTTGATTCGTATGATCGAAGCATCTCGAGTGTGGACCATACTTTTCTAATGCAAAATTTTTATCTGGATCTGAAAGGAAATTGTATTCGTTATGAAACTGCTCATGTGCCAGTAAATTTTATTTTCTTGTAAATAAAAAATAAAAGTAATGTTAATATAATATATACATATATGGGGTGTACACTTATTGGTAACACGACTTACGAGGATTATTTTCTTCGTAAAGACAATGAGAACCTCTAACTACTATATTCCGAGCTCTCCACGTGAATTCTTGTATGTAGGGACAGTAATCTGCCAGAGATACTGAGCCACCATAGTATTGTTCTTCTCCAGACGGCACGTGAGGAATCGAGTCGAAGTTCTAAAAAACCGAAATGCGGTTAATCCGTTTTTAAACCTATTAATTACTTAAACCATAAACCTGGGCGACTAAATGAACGTCAATAAATTCAGAAATAGATTGTAAGAAGCATACTTCGTGTTACGACTACCATCGACAACAAAAATAATTAATAAACTACTAGTCTACTGGTCTTGTTTCGAAAAATGAAAAACAAAGGTTTTTGTGGATGGTGGAATTAGGACTCACAGAAATAATTGAGCATGTTAAAAGACAGGGATTGGTATTTTATTGGTGTCAATTAGAATTATATTAAATTTCATACCTGATATTTCTTAGGCAATGGCTGTGGATGTTTAATCAAATTGCACAACGCTACCGAACTTCGATCGTCGGTACATTCAGTCTGTAACGGATCCTGCTTCACTTTATTGCAAAACGGATGAATGGATTTTCCTCTGAAAAATATTAATTAATTTTACGATTATTTTGTGCAAACACTACTATCCTCCAATGAGGGATGGAATCGAATGGGGTTGACTCGACCAAAATAAACGCAGGATATAACAACAATAATCGGTGAAGTTACAAAATATAAATACGACGAGAAAAAAAGTTAAATTCGAATAAATGTTATAGGTAATTTAATGTAGTGACCTAGACCTAATATACGTATAATTCCATTCCACATCAGCGACTATATCGAATAGCTTTTACAATCGAAATATAATTTAGTTCATTTAGATAATGTATTTACGTCAGACGAGATGACTTGGAAGATATCCATTCTTTGCAAGATTTCATCGCAAAAGGGCAACCAAGATTTCTACCCCATCCTAATTCTTGGGCCATCGAGTAGTTTGCACTGTACCACCCAGTGTCTTCCATCAGAGCAAGTGTTATTCTCGAATAGACGGGGTTTTGAGTATGTGTCCCTGTCATCGCTTCATTCTGTAAAAATAATTATTACGAGAATATAGCAAATCAGTAAATGTTATGAACAATTATAACAATGATACACATTATTCGTAATGAATATTTCAGAGTGCAAATCGACTGTTAGTAAATAGAATGGCAATAGGTATATCAAGTAGAGAAATTTATAGTCAAAGAAAGGCTTCTAGGTAGACCTTACAATCCAATGAATTTTTTCTATCTTCATTCATTTATATCAGGGAACAGAATTAAATACGCGAGGACCAAACAATTATAAATAAAACTTAGCATTGTTTAACATTACAACGCAATAGTTCGAGCAATTCTGCAAGCTGATCCTAAAGATCTCACAGCTCCCCCCTTGGTATCTCGACTCTTATTTTGCTATTATTTTGGTCTCAAGGGTTTTAGTTTAATTTAGTTGTTCAACTTAGAAAAAATGTACGATTCTTTTAACCATGCTTACTTCGAACACTCGTTTCTCCCAGTGCGTTAGAGCTGTGCCATCTTCTCCTTGATCTTCCAACTCTGCGCCTTCTAGGTCCGGACAATTGAAATGATTTTGAACTTCCACGCGAACTTTTGGCGTGACTATCATTTGCATCTGTCTTTCCACGTATCCGCCGTGTACTTGCCAATATGGTCTAACTACAGTTTTAATCGTGTTTTCGCTCCACTCGTGTGTTTGAAACCTACGCACAACGAAAGTTATTTTTCCTCGATTTATTGAACTTTATTGTTATTTGTAATCCGATGAAAACGAATGAAAATCCTACTATTTATCGTGTATCCCACGCTTGGATCTCGAAATATGAATCATTTCTTCTTTTTAATTAATTTGCTTTCTTCAGAAATATTAGTACAAAAAAATATTTTATATTCCTATTCGACGAAACATTTAGAATGAAAACTGAAAGTAGTTTGCTATAACTTTGATATGTGTGAAACTGATATCATTGCTCCCTTGGTCAGAACAGAGTCCAAATTTATATCCCCCAATACACAAATATAGTAAATGATATTATAAATACTGCTGCTTATAAAATAATAATCGTTGACAGTAAGAAATGTGCTTACTTCTCGTTCAATGTTGGTTTCCCCGTATCAGTTCGTCTGGGAGTTCTGGGTTCGCCATTTTCATCCCGATAGAAGGCGTACAGGCTCACAGAAAACCCTAATGCGTGCAATATTTCGTGTTTAACGGTGCTTAACAGGGTTTCCAGTTCTTGTGGTTTCGTGCTGATACTTCCTGGGCACAGATTGGCGTGGCCAGCTATTGGCCTAGAAAATATTAATTAAATTCTACCAAAAAAAGAATACGCGAGTTCGTGTAAAAGAGTATCGTAACGTAAGTAACAAATTTCATAATGATCATGATGGTATAATGCATTTCTATACGACGCTGAGGCCATTCATTACACTTTTCAATAGAATCTTCGTGAACTCTAATAAAAAATAACTTTATTTATCCTTCGCCGTACAATGACGAATCTGACTCGTAATAAGATCTTAATAGGAATAAGAAAAATTGTAAATACGAATACGAATTAAATGTGGACTATAATAAATGTATTTCTATACGACGCTGAAGTCATTAATTACATTTAAAGCGAATATGAAATCCATAAAAGCAAGACATACATTTGTAACATTACTTGTAATTAAATCATTTGTATAGGGATTAAATGGAGATTGAATTTTGTATCAAATGAACGTAATACATAATTAAAATAAAAGAAAATACAACATACAAAAGTAGAAGTAAAATAAATATATTAAATCTCGCTATTACAATTTGAATTCGAATTATTGAGAACGATAATAGGTAAGAAGAGATGTAAAATTGCCCGAAGATATTTTTAATTTTAAATACGCTAAATTTTAAATGTCCTGGCGAAAAGACACTTCGATGTACAACTGGGAACTACAGTGATTCAAACCATAATCGATATGGTATCACCGAAATATAACCGAGATAAGACCGATGTCAGAACCGATACTAAACATAACTGAGACCGATGTTACGTCAGAACCGTTATTTCGATAGCAGTTGTATCACTATTTCGTTGCTTCGTAACTGTTTTCAGAAGGGAAATCGATATTATATAACAGTTTTCAATTCCTGTCACGCAGTCCACCTAAATTGTGACGCGCCGCGACATCGCTGTCACGTTTCAATTACAGTTTTTGAGTATCACTTAAAACAGCTCAAATGGACGAAGGTCAAAAAACAGAGATATACGTTTTTCCAGAAAAGAAAAATTATTTTTCTACTTTTGTGTTACAAAGATCACGTTTACAACGTAGGAAAAATTTATTCGGTGTTTTTTTATTAATTCGGGAATTAGAAATTAATTTGTGAAAATAAAGACCCCCAAAATTCGTATGGGCTGTAATTTATGTCGATATAAATGGCCCATGATGAGAGAATGAATTACCTTACCGGTCTAATGTTGCTTCCTGTTGGCAATGCGCAGCATAGGCTACAGTTAATCCTTTATGGCACCTTTGAGTTTGCATTGCGGACACATAGAAGACAAAATCGGCACCGTCTATTCCACGACCTGCCCTGCTTCCTTCTGCTATTCCACAATTGTGTCCCGTCGCGTTACACGTTCGACAAACCTACGTATCAAATAAATCAATGATGTGTTATATTTAAACCGACACGCTGCAGGTATTTGCAAATTTTATTAAAATCTAAATTTAAATGTCAGTTTTTGCTCGTATCAACTAAAAGATCATTGAATTTCTTACGTCAAGGTGATCTTCGGGGACGACAACTTCACCACACATTGTGGTAGGTCGACAGCTATCTATACAGTGTGTGTGGTGATCTTTTACGAAGACTTGACTACTTTCGCATTTCCTGAAACATAGCAAATTGACACACCGTTATTTTTAAAATTCATAATCTCAGAATTTATTTTTTTACGAAGAGGAGAAGCACTTATACATAGAGGTAATATTATTTAGACGAATAAATAGAATTTATGATAGATAGATAGCAGAAGAAACATCCACTTGGGGTCATTCCAACAGAGTATGTAATTCCCAACACGGAAGTCACATTACTTGCACGATAAATTGCATCAAACCTATCGCAGACCTAACTCAGGAAAGCTCCATAAGGTGACTATCAACCTCCGCCATATTTAAAAACTCCCCACCCTCCAAAATCATTTGATACCTAAAATGCCTTTAGATGAAATTTAGATAGAAATAAAAGAAAACAAAGCGAGTAATTAATAGTTTCAAACCAAACCCAGACCTAACTCAGGACCAGCTCCATAGGGTGACTATTAACATCCGCCACATTTAAAAACTCCCCACCCTCCACAATCATTTGATACCCAAAATGCCTTTAGACTCAGCGGTTCACCAATCTTCCACTTCCGTTTCAAACGAAAGAAAACAAAGCGAGTGATTAATAGTTTCTAACGTAAATTACGTTACCTGTTCAGTCTAATAGTGTTTTTTGTTTCACGGACCATGAGTGCTCGTTCCCAAAAATGTACAGCTTCAGGCAGAATGGTGTTCTGAAACAAAGAATGATACGACATTTAATTCTGACGCAATTATCAATCAATTCTGCACGTATCGATAAATATGCAATAATACTCGCGAAGAAATACAATTTTCGTTATTTCCGGCTCGACAACTCGGCTATTTGCATCCCAGAAACTTGCTACTCGTTTAGCTATTTGAAAAACTACGCTAAACTCATTATATTAAACTCTTTTTAATGTTTTTAAGTTTGAAACTAACGCCTCCACAACACAACTTAAAGGAACGATAATTACGATTTAACGTTTATTAGTTTAATTTCTTATCGACTACATGAAATTAAATTACTCACATTAATGAGATCCAGTTTTTCATCGTCCAGTCTGTAACAAAAAACGACGAAAGTGTACGCTAATAATAGAATCATGAATCATGAATTACCCTGGCTAATATTACCGTGATATAATTAACGACAATTTGACGACAGGAAATAAACCTGTCAATTTCTTACATCAGCGATTAACTTAGAGACGTTTACAGGAAAACATCTAACCGCAACAACAAACTTAATTTATTTACGTTTCGAAGAAAAAGACGTGTTCAATGTTTCAAGTCGCAGTTGTCGTCTATTATTATTGTAGACAAAATTTACGTAAAATACTCGTTCTATGCTTCATCTTCCAATCTCTTATCAAATCCTAATATTCTTTGTCGCGATTAATTTCTTCTCAAAGGTAACGCAAACGAGCCTAACGGTATAAACTATGCAACGTACGCAATCACGGTTTTACGTTTAACTATACCTTTATCGCGACGCTCGAAATTAGAGAATTATTATTCAAATATAAACATACCTGTAGACGCTTTCGTCGTACGACAGAAGGATCCGAAGGGGCTGATTGATGCTACGTTTTTTTACTTCGTGCGCTGATTCTATATGAACACCATGAATAACCTACAATGAGAAGACAGTATTATTAACACTTCTGAAGAAATATCTCATACATTATTCAATTTATGAATTTAAACATTTACGATACTTCTACGGCTCGCAATAAGCCTGTATTTATTCATAGGGGGGCCCAAAATCATGCAGCGATCCAGAACATGTGTACATATTTATCGTGACTGTGAGAATTAGAAAATCCTTTGCTATTGTATAGCGTGAATCTTTAGTTTTCGACGTGCTACAAATCAAATGTTAAGCGTTGCTTCGAAGAAATATGTTTCATAGAGTGTTCCAATATGTCCATGTCCCTAACCCACGTTTTATCTTTTCTCATTTAATGATCAGACATCATCGACTGTACTATAAAGCTATAAATTCGATTACAATAGACCCTTGAAGAACGCTGTGATCCAGCTACAGACTTTACAGCTGCATGACAAATGCCTTTTTGACCTAAAAGTTTCTTATTTTCTTATCTCTAGAGTTTATCAATATAGTATACTCAGATTCGCTTTTACAAACATTCATATCGAAGGACATCGATTCCAACTCTGAGTTGACGGAAACAAAACATGAAAGATCTCACAGAAGACAAACTGAGAATCATCAAACTGGTACTTTACGAAACGAAAGGTGACTTAAACCAGGGTTCTTCTACGATCGTTGCCCAATTCGTCGCCACAGAGACGAGACATGTAAATAATATTACAGGGACGACATTAGATACGTAAATCGTGAAAAGATTACTCGGGAACAGCTCTTACACAAGGAAATTATGCAATGCTCCGAGTGTAAGCGGTTTGGTCACGCTGCCGCTAACTGTAACCTTAATTACAGATACGCGAAATGCGATGGCAATTGTCCGAAATGGTCTGGCGAAAGAAACGCCGGGTAAAGTCTTTTTTATTGTATGAACTGTAATACTCACGGTCACCCCGCGACATACAAAGGACGTTCAAGCTTCGGACTCGGGAGTATTCTGGATCAACCTGGAAGAAAAAAGCGTCTCCAGACTCGATGGCTAACAACCAAGCCTAGCGCTAGAGAGAAGAAAGCTACGACCAAGTTACAGTGACCGTATAAACTAACAAAAATACGTCCTTCGAGCGACGGAATGCTCGAGCAAAGGAACATAGCAAAAATGCTGCGTATTTTAGACGTATCGAACGAAATTTCTGAACGGATTGGCAATTTATAGCAACTAGTCCATAACGATATTAAAAATAGTCAAACGATATTAAACTCTGGTTCGCCACGATATTTCTACGTTTAAAAAATTTTTATTAAAAATATTGAATTGGTCCATACGTTTTTGTTTTATATTAAATGTAACTCATAACATTTAACTATTATTTGGCTACGTATTATATATCATTCGAGAGTTTCTGGTGTATTTTTTTAGGTTCAAACAATAAAAAGAGTTGTGGTCAAAAAGTACGGATTTGCAAGCTCAAGAAATGAACATCGATACATTGATAAATTTTACTATAATATACTGACAAAATAGTACAGAAATGGTTTTCATGATTCGCCATTTAAAAACAATGGGAAGAGTATGAGAACTTAGACCATGGAAGAAATTACAAATTTCACATTTGAAAAATTGACCAATCCAATAGATTTCGAAAAATATGATCTCGAAATTTTAAGGTTGAATTTGCAAAAATAACAATAGCCATTTGCTACTCTTTCTTTTTGTTTTACTGTGGGGTCTTCCCATAATTTCGTTGGTGATGGTTCTACTAAAACATTCTGGATCTTGAACCTTACGATAAAAATGTGATATCGAAGAAGAGTGAATGCATGGAACATGTTGCAAAAAGAATGTGCACCCGACTGAAAAACGTTTTAAAAAAGGAAAAACTTGGAAGACACGATTAACAGTTGCGCTTATAAAAGGTTGAGAAAATACTACGACTAACGAAAATCCTAAACAAAACGGAAAACTTGACGAGTTTTAGCATCAAGCATTTCCAAAAATATGTAAAAACATCTGCTGCTAATTTATAGAGATTTATTAGAAAGATGATTAGGTGGAATTCAGAATTTCAACTAAAGTTTCGATTCGACTGTTCAGCGTCTGGGACCAAAGCATCTCTGCGGTTCTAGAACTACACATACACTAGATGAAATTTCTGTAAAAACATTACTGTTTTGAATTAAAGAAATTTTGATAATATAATAAAACGAAACTTAGAAAATGGTTGAGGAATAATAAAAAGCAATAAACCAATATTAAAAACGAAGAAAACGTTTTATTGTTATTATAAAATATAACAGTTTAATGTATAGAAGTGTGACGAAATTTGCATAGGAACAGACTATTAAATTATTAATAAAAACAGAAAAATTATAATATCAGTAACTAGTATTTCCATCGATAGATTTAATAACTTCAAATATTCGATTCTTCGAGTAGTATGGATTTTTATTTAACTCGTATCTTACTTCTTTTTCACGTTCTTTAATACTTTTGTAGTGCTTACCGTTTTAGTATATTTTTCTTGACAGAACTGCCCATAATTCAGATCCGGGGGAAAGAAACGATATAGCTTCATATGTACACACATAAATCGTGTCGATAATATTTGACACCATTGGAACCGTTCAAATTAAATTTATCATTGCAATTTATTTTATTGTTTTATCTTTTGTCTATAATTTTTCTTCGTAACATTCTGATAGGAACTGAATTATTGTACATACTGTAATATTATATTATAAATTATATATTTCAGTTTAAATACTCTTGTTAAGTCGCGAACCATGTTTCTAGTGCTCATAATAAAAAAAAGGCGAATAAGTATAAATTTTGTACTTAACTCGATCGATATTCTAGTGTTTTTCTTTATAAATTGAAATATCAAGAATTTTTGTTTATACACGTCGTTCCACAATAAAGAAACGATCGATTTTTATCAGTAAATCGTGGTCTTCTTAACGAGTAAATATAAAGATACAAAATATATAAAATATATTTTATTTTACTAATATAAATATAAACATCCCTATGACTTTCGTAAATTGGTTTATTGCACAATACACAACAATATAATATTTTTTTATAATCAACTATAAATGTAAAAAAGTAACTTCTCGTTCCTGCACCCTGAAATCTTCTGTGTCTTCCATTGATTTGCACTTTTTATCGTTCAGAAACTAGATTGTATTTTGCTACCATTACACGTTTAACAAAATATGTAACATAAATATAAATATTTAAAAAAATAACACGTTTCAATTTTAAAGATTGAATTATAATGACAAAATTAATAAATAAATATACATGTATACAAAAAATAATACATTAAAGGAATTACACAAAAATTTATAATCGCCTATTTAAGAAAAACATGTTTCCTGTTTATAATTCAAAGTCTGATCTCCGGAGTGAATTATTTTTAAATAGCTGGACTATTTCGACTGTACAAGAGTGGCATAATAATTAGAGTTTTAATTGAAGTCTTGCATGGAGGAATAAATTAAATATAAACTGCCTTGGTGCTATTTTAAACATAAACTTTAGGTTTTTGTTCACGGAATGATAACGAGCTCGTAAAATAAATCACTTTTTATTTATTTATGCAGGCAGTTTTGCTGGGGTCATGAATAACCCTAGTGTGCCATTTCAGAGTTGATATCAATTAAAACGAAAATTACCAGAAATAATAAAGAAGGTTCGAAGCTAATTTTGGGACAAAGGACGAACGATTTTTTTTACCACGCCTCTTGCCTCTTAAATAAGTCCCATGGATTCGCATATCGTTTTAACTATAGTAAAACGTGTATAACGAGAAGGTGGCGGCCTTTATGGCTCCTTTCGAAAGTCAGGTACGAGACCTTCGGTAATACAATACACCAGAGATGGGAAACCAGTGGCCTATAGGCCCCATGTGCCATTTCAAACTGTTCGGTGCCGCCTTTTCGCATATCTTATCAATTATGCACTTTCTTCCATTTATATAAATAACAATAACCAGTAACCAGGTAAAACAAGGAAAAATAGAAATTTGCATCGCCAGAAATTAATCGAAACAATCGTTTGGATCATTGATGTTGTTTACTTCCAATTATACATTCCATTTTTTACAATCGATCTTTTTATTTCGTCCCTTGACGCGCGATTTAATAACAAGTAACTTTTCAAATGTATGTTATTTAATTTCGTTTAACGTTTCTCACAAAAAAGGAATAAAATTGTTTCACGAACACCTTGCGAATACAAAAATGTGTTAATTTCAATCAACAAACCAATAATCAACAGGTTAAAAGGAACGCACACGGGTTAGTGTGTAAAATAAATCACGAAATCGGTAAAAACAAATACAAGCAAGTTTGGTGGATGTACACTGTCGCTTAGAAGTATTAGGACACGATTAATATTTGGGTTATCATAACTCTAAGAAAAACAGTCGTCCAATAACCTTCTAGATATTATTTTAAAGATCGAACCATCTACTTTTACATCCACGAATTGGATTTCTTTGGGAATTCTTTTACACTAAGAAACGAATAAGAAAGCGATGCTTTTACTCTAAAAAATGTTTTAAATTTGAAGCGACTAGAAAAAATATTTTAAATATTGTACCCATCTAAAACTGCTATAAATGTTAAAATTGAAGTCTCTTCTTTACTGCAATCTCTTAAAAAGTGTATGTGTAATATCTTTTCGCCATTTTATTCCAGTTTGAACGAACGGCGTCAGCATTGCAATATTCAACGATCGTATATGTTAAAATCTATTATACACATGTAAAGTACATGTTCCACTTTTAAATCACTCGATAAAGAAAAATTTATTCGAATTCTATAATAAATTTAGATCGTTTTCTCGCTATTATTACTTACAGAATAAGTTATTTTTCTCGATCGATATGAAATAAAATGACGAAAAAAACCTTATGTTAAATTTTGCAGTAATCGTCATAAAGTATGAACTTTAATCTCTAAATGTATGGTAGTTTCAATTATGTAAAAAATTTGTTAAATTTGAGGGAGTCGTTAGAAATTAAAACATTTCTTAGAGTATTTTCTCCTCGTTTTCTTGCTTGCTTCTTAGTGTAAATAAACCTTCGAAGAAATTCAACTTGTGAATGGAACAATAGAAGATTCAATCTTTAAAATAATCTCGAGAAGATCGTCGTACAACTTCTCTTTCACGAAGTTGCAATACTTCAAAGACTAACACATTTTTAACTGGATTACGCAAAAAAAACAAAACTATAAATACAATAAGAACGAAGAGAAGGGGGAGAACAAAAGAAGATACTTACAAAAGCACGCAAGATATGTCCACATCCAAATTAATTATGGGAATGCAGAAGTAGTTGCTAACCGCATCCTAAATATAAAAGTTGAGAATGTTAAATTGGGGGCCAAAAGTAAGCACGTTCGTGATAAATAAAAAAATATATGCTTCAAACCTAGAAATATAATATTATTATTATATACATAGGGTGTATGAGCAAGAAGTAATAGAGATAAAAAAACAATTAATAATGCTGAAAGAAATACCTTCTTCGCCCGAGCAATTAAAGTATCAAAATGGTAAAGTCATTTTAAAAAATTAGAAACTAGTCGATTGCGTGAAACAGACAACAGGAAACATCTGTAATATAAAATAACAGGTCGAGTCACGTTGCTATTTTTTGCATTAAGTTTGGAAAAAAGAAATGAGTTTTGGTGTGTCCGTTTAAACATTAATGGTAATATTTTTACATATTTCTATGCTTACCATCTCTTAAATAAATTATACTTTTATTTATACCGATTTCATAATTTATTTTATTATTATTCACATCTTCCTCATACTTAATGTTACGTGTTTGCGTTTCTTTTGATCCGTTGATTGTTGGTTTGTTTATTATATTAAGGATAATGTTATCCACAACAACTTACTTTAAGTTCCTAATTAAAAAAAAAAATATAATAACCCTCTTTTATAAATCTTCCCATAATTCTATGATTGCCATGGTGTCCTTCATTTTATTCGATTCGTAGTCAAAATGTGATAGAAAAGTAAAATCTTAATTATTAATTACTTATTATTTGATATAATATACAATATTATTTAATTTAATTTCGAGTTTAAGTTTTACGCGCTGAGTATTTAATAATGGCGGAAGCGCGGCATATTTGAAATACTATTGGGTAATTTAAAATTGTAAAATATCTAGAAAGGTTTTTCGGACTACCACACGACACACTAATAAGTAAAACATAAAAAACATGATCATAAATAGTACATAAAGATTCAGTATATGACAGGTCTATATAACATATAAATAAAAATGCTGTGTTTCTGTCATTGTAATTTATTTTGAAATAATGATAACATAGTGACAATTAATCAGGGAGATTTTCCTCATTGGACCACGCAGGATTGTACGCTTACAAGCACGCAATAGGTGTATTTATATTAACTGTATGCGACCTACAACCAAAAACAACATTAACAAGCACTAAATACGAGTTATATTTCGAATAATATGCATATTTAAGATTAACCATTTTGCTAATCTTCTGTGGAGCTTTTCAGCCTTTGAGATTTACTACTTGCATTTAATAAAAACAGATATTTATAAATTATTCTATTGGGGAAAAATAATTTCTAATAACGTTGATATGAGTATGTAAAAGATTAAGTAATTATGCAAATTAGAGTATAACCTTAATCTTGATATACATATGTTGTCAAGGACACCCTCCCTAATCAGATACAATAAGTTTTATGAACACTAAAAATTTGGAGCAATGCAGCACATATATTCAGCAATTATTTTCTAATTTCGACAAAAATTTAATAGTTCAAGAGCCACATCATTAAAACTGAAAATAATTTATACTTTCTTTTCCGGTTAAAGAAACCAGAAAATTGTGCTCCAAAAACAAAAAGTATGGTAGAAACTAATTTCTAAGAACACGATAAAACTGGCGACCGTCTTCTGCTGGTTTTCTATATTTCCTCTAAAATTAATGACTTCTAAGCGGGGGCGTACGTGCACATACTCCAAAAACACGTGGTTCGCTGGCGCGTGAAAACAAGTTCACGAATATCGTTCTCAGCAAGATCAATGTCACGTCCCAGATTGCGTACCTAAGAACAAGCACTATTGGAATTCATAAGACGTTTAAGACACTCCTGATGTAAAACATACGTAATATCACTAACACGCCGATCCTCTGTTTGCGAAACGAACAATACGAATTTTGCAATAACTTTATAAAGAACGTCCCGTCCTCCGCGTCGTAGAAACTATTTGCGAGCGTAATAAAGAGCGCGTTGGAACCACATCGCGTAACAAGAATATCGACCATGTGTCGGTAATAATACCATGATCAATGGCACGTTAATGTTGAGCATTTAAACAACCAATGAGTAGAAGAGAACGGCTGCTGATTGGCGGAGCAAAGTGGGACGCGCACGAGACACAGGTATGCAAGAGAGACAGCACGAGCACGTGACACGTGAAACACACGCTTCGTTGAAGTCATACAATTTCTTTCCCACAGAAATGGCACAGAACTCGTTCGACGCAACGAAGAGGTGGATCTTTCGTAATTGTGCAAGCGTGGTGGAATAAAAGGGCGACGAACGTCGGCCCGGGAAGAGAATTAATGGAAGGGAAATAGAGCACTGGCGACCAGAAGTCGCGGTTGCTTAGCCGGTGTGCATCCACCGCCGAACGCGGAGGCAGACACAAAAGTGAAAAGAGAGTAAGAACGAAGGAGAGAGGGAGAGAAAGAGAGTCGTCCTTTTCGTGTAACGCTTACCTCGTGTGCCCGGGGATATCGGTGACTGCAGTGACGAAGCTCGAACATCCCGCATGCAGGTTCCGTGCCACACACCGCGATTATTACGATTAGCGGCAATACGACGGTGCCGCATTGCATCTTCAACCGCACCAAAACCGCCATCACGGACGACATCCGCACTCAGAAGACATGACACATACTGAGCGCGCCCGCCGACGCCGCGAATTTATATAGACGTCGCGGCACACAGCGCCGCGCTACTCGCGTTCGATATCAAGAGCATGGCAGATGCTCGTTGGTGTCAATTCGACAACTTCTCCCGAGTGCAACCTGTATAATAATCAACGGAACTCGAATCGCAAGTGCAACGAAACTCCGAGGTCACATATTTTGTACTAACGAAAGTATTAACTAATTTGTTCGATATTTCGATCAGACACGAATCCTTGTTTAACCCCTTAATTACGGCAAACATTTGACACTTTCCTGATCTTATCAGTGTGAATCTCAACGTAGTGAACGTATTAAATCTCTTTCCGAACAAATTCTACGAAAACACTGCACAACACATTTGTAATTAATTGTAAATGATATGTTAATGTTGAGTATAGTTGCTTTCGCAAAAAGATTTCCCGAAATGGAAGTTACGTATGGTCACTTTTTTGTTAGTATTTGTATCCGATAGTAACTCCGTATAATCAACTTCACATTAGTTATTTATTTAGTAAAATGAGTAATAAATATTTCAGCGGTCTAAATTTTATGACTGGTTTAATAGATAGACCTCTACGCGTTTGTACAGTCTGGTTTTCTGTCTTTAAGGGGGAATTCTCGTGTAACGGTTCTAAAAGCAACGGAAAACTATCGTTTATTTTGGAAGATATAAGAGGACATATCTGGACTACGGAAACAATTATTTTTATTATTCATTAATCAATGTAGAATCATTAACCTCTTCAATGATCTAACCCCTGTTTGTATATAGATAAATTATGTCTCTACAACACATGATAAGTGGCTGATAGGCAAAAGTTTAAGATCTGTACACAACATATGGCCCCCATATTTTATCTACTACAGTTAACAATGATATATAACTAAATTTTTATACTTCTATTTTCTAATCTCATTTTTACAAGATCCCTTTATTAAACTTGTAAACAGCTTACCTCAGTGTCTTAAAATCATATCAGATATTGTGTTTAATAAGTGGATACAGTTTGCCCCGTTGAACAATTTAATTTTGTCCTGAAAGTATTTTTGTACATCCATAATCACTGGATTTAATTATATTCATAACAATAAAAACATGCATAACATATTTTTCCTTCGATACTACATTAATCAGTGTAAGAAAATATACAGAGAGATTTCATAAAAATGTTGCAATAATTACTAATTAAATGTAGTAAAATCCCTGCTATATAGTGTACTAGTGTAATCATATTTATAAACAAATATAAAAAAAGATGTTAAAAAAAATGAAAGAATAATTTGAATTATGAAACATTAACTACAAACATCATTATAAAATTAAAAAAAAAACAGAAAAGTAATTAAAATGTAAGTTAAGTGAAAAGACAAGGCGATAATATTATGAATCACATTTCATAAAATTAAATGTTTAATCATTGTTGAGATATATTTGAGCAGGATATGGTATTATTACTAGAATAAGGTCTTCAATATTATGTGTGTAACATACTTAATAAATCATTATAATTTATTAATGTTTTTTAGCTTGTTAACACTATCACCATTTATTGGCCTTTGGCAATTAATAAATATTAATTTTTTAAAGATGCGATAACGTGGTGGCATAATACTGGCATTCTACGCGATAAAAACAAGTCCAATTCCTCGATATTTGTATCAATTTCATTTTATCAGTTCAAATTAATTAGTCTTACGTGTGAAATCGCGCGTTAATTTTGTACGTAAAATAATTTGATTTATTACGTAAAAAGAAAGGGACTTATCATTATATACACACATAAAATTCCAGACTTTTCAGTAATGAAATAATTGCAGATGTAAATCTCATTACTAATAATGAATCTGATAATAACAATATACATATATAAAGAATCCGTAAAAAATGCTAAAATTAGTATTTGAACTTTGACAGTTTAAAGTTCGAAATTTTTAAGGAAAAAAGACGACCTATTATGATGGGAAAAATAAATTATTGAAGAGGGGATCAAATTCGAGAAATATAAAGACGAAATGATACTTACAAATTTGTCCTATAGTTTACATAACAGCAACCCTGTTGTAGTTGTTAAATATAATCAACAACCTTATTTAGTACTATTCGTTCAGTATGGAAAAGTTATCAAATATAGTAACAAGTCATTTTTAACAGTGCATATAAATAGATAATATATTGATCATGTGTACATTAAATATATTTTCATTTGTTTTAACTTTTACACGTCTGTGCATACCATTCTTTACTTCTGAGACAAATGGTGCTCACGCAATGAGGACAACGCGTTAAAAACTTCGGGCTTACCGGTTGCTTCGATTTAAGATGAGAATTAACTATATCCGCCAGAGCATCGATAAAGATAGGATGATCGTTTGGCGCAGCAGCTCGTTTTATTCTTTCAATGCCGAGCTACAAATGAGAAAAAGTCGATTTTAACCCATAACTTTATCAAAATTGTAACGAATGCTTACTTCTTCGGCTAAATCTTTGCAGTACTCGATATCCATCTCGTGGAGAGTTTCAATATGTTCATTAACAAACGCTACCGGCACTAATATAAAATTCTTTTTTCCTTGCTTAACATATGCTTTTAAGGCATCGTCGGTAAAAGGCGCCAACCACGGTAATGGTCCAACCTAAATATACATTACGAAATTAATATACTAATATGGCAAAATCAAATTAACATAAATAGCATAAAGAATAATAAAGATAGATAAAGAAACAATTGAACAATTCTTTTGGTAATTTTTTTAACCGAATGAAAAGACTTCTCCTTTTAAATATTATTTTCATTAATTTTTGTTAAACATAAACTTTTTTATAGAACACAGTAAACTAAATAAGTGTTTACAAAAGAGATGACCTCATGGATTAGAACAGTCTGGTTCTATTTATAAAATCATAAATACATAATTACGAAATTCTACTAGTTCTTTCGTTATGTTAAAATTAAATGCAAATACTTTCTTCGTTCATCTTTTCCTTTATAAAATTTATGCAAGACAGTAACGTAGAATTAAAATCACGAGCATAAATAAATAATTCATTATGTTGTACTCGTTACAGTAATCACGGAAATTAATTGGTATAACAAGCGTGCATATCCATATATCTTTTCATTAGAAATACGAAAATCTGTTTTTTTTTAAAGAACATATTAATGCAATGAAAAAAAATTTCTGTACCTTTGACTGCCACACTAAATTGTACGGATTGCAGTAATTTAATTCTTTCATTACCAATGCAACTGTTGCCCCAACTTCAGATGGATAAGAATCTCCTCTATTCACTGCCTAAACATACGATACAGAAAACAATTTGTTAATAATTGGTAGTACATTTAAAACATCGAATTATACATAATAAGAAAACATAGAAACCTTTAGAGGAAGTGAATGAGCTGAAAATAAAATTATAACATCGTCTTTTATATTATCAGGGAATTTAACCAATTCGTCCTTAATTCTTTCAGCAATTGCCTTTACGAATAATGGATGCGTTGCCCATCTATCTATTACGCTCCATTTCATATTAGTAGGTAGCTGCCTGCAAATGACGAAGTGTTAAACATAAGTCATCATATTGGACAAACATTAAAATTTTATTCTTTACTTAATATATTTAAAATTAACTAATAATAAATAATTCTTCCGGCAAAAAAAATGTTCGATGTTTCGATCCACGATGAAGGTCTTTTTTTAAAATTATTAAAATATCGTGCCCCCTTGTCGATTTACAAAAAAAAGGAATTTTTTTCGTAAAATGTTAGTTTAGATTCTTATAAATAATATACAAAAAGTTTGAAAAAATTCGTAATAATGAAAGTAATAAAAGAATGTGTGAACCAGATGAGTTTGTTACAGGACTAGTCTAGTTTTTCAGCTAAAAAATTTTTGCGCGGCATTTTTACGTTTTTATTGATATGATATTCGATATTTCAAAAGCTTCACGCCGTTGAATTAACTAGTTTCCGTGAAAATTTCGTTAGTTTTACGACACATAAGCATAGATAAAAAAAAAGTTAAGATAAGGCCTAAGAAAAGAGTCCCACGCTAAAAAAAACATGTAGGAAGTGTTGGCGCATCTGCAAGGAAATTGCACGACAATCTGCAATACGATCGTTGATCTAAAGCAGCCATACTCAACCTTTTCTTTAAAGATAAAAGCATTACTTGTGATATAGTACACTATACTTAATAATATAACACTGTAAAAATAAAACTCAACATCTAAATGCATCGAAGCGTTTATTTAAAAATTAGTGTAATTTTCAATGTCGAACGCTCAAATTATTACGAAAAAACGGAAATTCGATGTTTTCAAGATGCTCGTGTTTAGCACACAATGCACGTAATTAAAAAAAAATTCAAAGACACAAAATATTCTTTTTTTAAATTTAATTACATAAAAGTACAATAGCTGACTCATTCTCTTAATAACAAAATTTCTTTTAATGGAAAACTATGTAGAAGGGCATGTATCTACAAATTTAATGAAACAGTATTAATATATTCGGAATAACTACCTTTTTTTATAATACTTATATATTGCATTAAAGCTAGATCCAGTTGTGGCACAACTATATTGTGGATACTGAGAAAATATTACTGTTTGTTGGACACCATCTCTAAACAAAAAGCAGTCTTTGTTTATAATTATTATTTAATTATTATTTATGATTTTAAGACATTAATGTCCTTACTCCTCTAACTGTTGAAGCGTATCTTCAGTGAGAGGATCAACATATCGAAAAGCTACATAGTACTTATGAGGTGCAGTTTCTGGTGAAACCTTGTCCAACTTTTGGCACAACAGTTCACCCTGTATTTTTGTCCACTTTAAAATAGGTGAACCTCCGCCAATTTCTGAATATTTCTTTTGTACATCTGGTGTACGACGCTTTGCTATCCAAGGACCTAACTGACTGTAATGCACATCATGATATACAAACCTCTTTAAAATAACAATTATCGAGGTAAAGAACTAATTTGTGCAAATAAACCTTTGAATTGGTAGTTGTATCATTTCACGATCAGTCATTATACGTAATAAATACTCATGCACCTGTTCAATACTAGAAGGTCCACCCATATTAAGCATTAAAATACCTGTTTTTGGCTTAAGGCTATTTAATTGATTTTTAGCTGCCTCTATAGAAATGTGACGACAAGGCAAAATGGAAAATTTTCCATATTGCTTTCCTAAATAATGATACGAAAAAATATATTTGATTATGCATATTTAGGATAATAAATACAATAAAAAAATACTGTATATAATAATAAGAATAAATATTGTATAATATAATCTTAAGTTTATTATTTAACTACAAAACGTATTCCTTAGTCATTTTCATAGATTTTATAATTTAAAAATCATTCATATAGATAGCATAAATATATTATATATAAATTCTAATCTTTACTTACCGAATTGCAGCAATGTTGATAATTTACTTGCCATGTTTGATAAAATAAACTCAAACTGAACACTTTAACACACAACAAATACAATGAATGCGGCAAAGTTGTAGATTATGCACTATCACGATAATGACAAGTCTGACGTTACTTACCGCTGCTTATAGGTTAGGTTTCAAAGTAAGGTTATATTTGGTGGGTACAGAAATTTTGCATATTGCGATTACACGGCTTGGGTTTATAGAGTAATTTTCTAATACATAGTGGTCTTAATTAATTCTAGTAGAAGTATATCATTAAACAAATATTAATACATTTGACAGATACTATAAACAATCACTTGCCGCTAAATTAAAATACAATCATGACAGATCAAAATAATCAAGAAATGGCTTCATCGGAGTTAGGTACTCTTGATTAGTAAGTAGTACGTTCCGTGTATCTAAATACGAAACACTTAATTAACATTACTTACACGTCACAAATATTTCTTACAGTTGGGAAAGAGTATACGCGGAGGAACTTAATAATTTTAAGGATCATGGAGACGTAGGGGAGATATGGTTTGGTAGAAATAATTCACTAAAGGTTACACGGTAGGTCATTTAAATAATCTGTAAAAACTATAATAAAACACGAAGACAAATAATACGAAGTAAATTTTCACATTAAATAGTAAAACATTCTAATCTAAAACCAGTGGCGCTACCTTTTGTTTACTGTGAACGTAAGAATTTTGTCGCCATTACAAAATAATGTCTAAATTTTGGAATTGAAATATAAACATTCTTGCTTTGGTATATAATATTAGTAAACAGAATATTTTTGTCATTTTATGTAAAATATTATGAAGCTTATAAAATTGTAGTTTTAAAGTAATTTGTTTTCAAATTAGTTATTATGAAATTGTTTAAAAATTGCGTCGATACATTTTAAGAAAGTCTATTTAGTTTTTAGTACTGATTGTAATATTTCAGTTGGATTACCACGCATCTTAAACTTAATAAGAAAGATGACAAAATAATTGATATAGGGTGTGGAAATGGAATGACATTAGTAGAATTGTCAAAGGATTTTACAAAATTGATGGGTATAGATTACTCTGAAAAGGCAATAGACTTAACTCGGGAAGTATTAAAGAAACACAACCTATTGCATATTGATTTGAAAGTTTATAATATAGTGGACTCTGAAGAATGTGATTTACTAAAGGATTTTAAAGTAGCACACGATAAAGGAACATATGATGCTATCTGTTTGCATCCTGATGATCCAGCAACAAAAAGGCAGAAGTACATAGAGAATGTGCATAAAATTCTCTTGCCCGATGGTTATTTGGTCTTAACATCATGTAACTGGACCAAAGGGGAATTAACAAACCATTTTCAAAATTGTATGTTATTTTATTGTTGCTTTTTTTTAGCAATAAAGAACATTTTTAAATCCTTTGTAGTCTCTTATATAAAAACGAAATTTAATTCAGAACCATATATGCAATAACACTTATTCTCTTTCCAAGTTGAACATAATTGCCAAATTTCAAACATACTAAGGACATTGTGGACTACAAAGGACTATTAATATGTTACTCATTACTTTACAGTATATTAGGGTTATATTCAAGGTGGATCAATATCTTTGTCCACCTTGAATATCTCTGTTATTTCTAAAGATATAGAGAAATATTTTATAGAAAAATTATATGATATGGAGAGGTTCATAATATGCAAGTAACAATTTTTATATACGTGGAGGGATTTCGGAGATTTTTTCTTAGTAAAATAGCATGTGTTTAGACAATTTCAATGACCCCCAAAACAAGGTCATTCGGTAACAGATAACAAAATGCCAAGTGACTTACGTTATTTGTTAAAAAAAACTTTGATACGGGATTCAAACATTTTAAAATTAAGTCCCAAGTTAAAAATCATTTTATTAAATGTTCAAAATGGTGTCCGCGTACATTGCCGCTCATAAGTATTAGGACACTTGGTCGAAAAGTTCGTTAATTCTCGAACTGTTATAATTTCATGGAAAGAAATCGTACAACGATCATTTTGGGGTTATTTTAAAAGTTGAACTCTCTATTTTCACATCTGCAAGTGGTATTTCCTTGAAGATCCAAAAAAAAAATATATCATATTTAGACAGCCTCCAAAAATTTAAAAATTTTGTCATGCAACTAAACCACCATAAATTCGAATATTAAAGCTTCATCTTTGCAATAACCCCATTGAAAATTCATATACGATTTTTTTCGTTGTTTTATTGCACTTTGAATCAGGTGTGTGTCTTCAGCATTGTATTCTAGTATTTCTGTAAGAAGTAATGTTATTAAATTCTTGTTAATAAGTTTATTAATTACTGATAATGCCCGTTCTCTCGACAATTGGTATAATAATGTTACACGGTATTAATAAAATATAATAATGTTTCAGATTTTAATGTCGTGAACGTGCTTCCCGCCTCCGATAGATTCCAGTTCGGCGGACAAATCGGAAACACTGTAACACAATTAGTCCTCCAAAAGAAACAATGAATAAAGAATTTTTAATATACTATGTATGCAATGTTTTTTATTTAACCACCTTGTACAACGTGTTCTGGGATGAGTGGTATACGTGGATAGAGTTTAATACTACGTATAAAAATAAATCAAAAGATTCGTTTTATACATATGTGTTTGTTTAACTTTCGACCCGATGGATTTCACTATCTATGCACTAGTATATTGTATATTATTAATTACATTTATCGATCTATTATGTCTACTAAAAAAGAATTTTTTAAATTGATAACATTGGACAGAAAGTCTTATTTAGGATTTGGAGAACATGAACAGAGTTAAAACAGAGAAACAAATAATCATTTTTATCATGTGATAAGAAAAATCTATATTATGTCAGGATTTGTTTTATCTTTCGTATTACCAGATTATTGACGGGTTTCGTAAACCTAGTGTCCTTCTATACGTAATTACTGTATATGACCATCGCAAAAACTTTGTTAATATTGATAGTACAAACCGATAATAAGAAACTGATGGTAAATAGTCAAAGCGTAGCGTTACTAATGTTTATAAAGGTGAGATTTGTTATGTGGAAACAGAGTCAAGTGCATATACACTGTGGTCAATTGCACCACCCGTTCCAGGACACTCTGTATAATTGGTTCCCTGTAACTGACACATAACAAGTTGCAAGTATCATAATTTTACTGGTATTTAAAACGCAGCAGTCGACTATGAAGAGGAAATATTTTTTTTTCTGCCGGTAACAAGTTTGTATAATGGAGACAAATAATACGCCTTACTATTGTACTATTATCGAGTTATAAATGTTACAAAATACATTATAGTTAAAATAAGCACTGCCGTTAAGTTAGTGTGCCGATGGATTTTGTATCAGTGTATATTATTCTTATTTAAATATTATATATTTCGTTTTATACAGTCATATTGATAATTAAGTCACGTTGGCATATAAGAATGTTGTATGTATGTTAACTATTGCATGCACGTATAATTACGTTCGAATTTTTAGACTAAAATGTGCAGTGTACGTAATGTGTAATTTAAAATAATATGTTTTATGTATACTCTATATTTTGATAACGTAATTTTACGATACAATTTATCGAAGTCTTCTTTGAAAGTAAATTATAGTGATTCGAGTGTACTCTGAAAATGTTATCACTTTTCGAATTAAAAAATAAATATATTACATAAATATCTAGAAGTTCACATACTTTAACATGTTTAAAAGTTTATAATTATTCTTTTAAAATTAATGCAGAACTAAAAGTTGTATTTATATTTTGTTCAAGATCCGATTATATAGTGTAATACATACGTATATTATATAATTACATATCATCTGTATTAAAATGCACAGAAAACGGTTTATATTATCTTATGATATTTAAAGAGAAAATTGTTCACGGATAAAATATTCATTAATAATACAAATATTATGGTAATATTTTCAGTAGATTACGTTCCTATTTTACCGTACAATAGACGATATCACTGTACAATAAAATTTAATTCTTAACTGCCTAGAGTGACATATATTATATAACTTTCAAATTTCTGCTACTTTATGATAGAGCATGTAATAAATTGTAATACTATAATCCATGAATTTGGTTTCTAAATTGTAAATATTCTGAATTACGAGTATATTAATAAATTGTAGTTCTCTTGATTAAGGAATAAATTGATAATTCAATTTTATAACACCAAAACAAAATTGTTAGGCAATTAAAAATTGAAGCACATAATATTTTAGAATTATTATATAATGTAATAATATTATATAAATTAGTTCATTTGTATGTTGATTATTTGTATGTATGTATGTTTGTACACGATAAATTCGAGAACCACCAAACCGATTTATATTCAACTTTCGTTATTAAATAGTTTAATTTTCCAGTTTGTAGTAAACGAAAATGCAAACTAAGTTTGTATCCTTTCTCTTAAAATTAATAGTTTACCTATAATAACATTTCTATACTTTTAATTTTCAGGTATTAATTTGCTTCTCATTATATGCAGTATAATTTAAAAACAGCTGAATCAATTTACACGAAATAGTTGTAGCTATACAAAAGAGATCCTGAAAATACTTTAGTGAAAGTTTCATTAAAATCGGTGGAGTAGTTTTCGAAATAATAAGATGTAAAGTTCTATAATAAAAGCTACTATAATCTCCTCTATTTCGATAGGCTCCCTTTATTGGCGCTTTTTTTTAAATAAATGAAAATTCATATGAATTTTATCGCGTAACATTTGATTATTGAGAGAGAGAAATATGTATTTTATGGAATATACTTATAAAGATATATCGTATATAATAAAATATTATTTTAGTTATAAATAATTTTATACCTTTCAAGTATGTTTTCTAAGTATACTAATAATACAAGTATATTTTCTAATAAAGTTATAGCAGTGTTTCGATGAAAGGTAGAAATTAAAAACTTTTATATTTCCTATTGTATCTTTATGTGAGTATTATAAATAATCTGGTGAAGTTTTCCTGGTGAAAATTACTTGAAACACGGCCATATTGGAGGTATTTTCACGTACAAGTAAAACTAACTCTAATTCTGTCGTGTTTTATCTAATTTTCATTAAGAACTCGTCGATCCATTATTAATACTTTCATAGCGATACAATGACTATAACAGCTCAACTAGCTGAATTTTAAAATCTACGTTTCATCGAAGCGTTACTGTATATAATTAGTTTCAATGAATAAGCATAATTTCATATTGTAACTAGAACTATATGCCGTATGTTAGACTTAAAACAATTTTTTATAAACGTGGTCAAATTAATACGATTACTGGTGAAACTTTAGGATCCTGAAAAAAGGTAACTTCTCATAACCATAATCTCCGTTTGAAACAGTAAATAACGAAGTTTTTACATGAAAAGGATGTAAATGTCACAGAAAATTTACAAACGATTATTAAATTACAATAACAAAAATTACTACCAGCACAAAGAACTAAAAATGGAAGTATTAAAGACCACGACGAATAAGAAGTAATTAAGAAAGGGTTAAGCACACTAAACTCCATTATTATAACGTATGTTTATAAAATAAATTATTTTATCGACAAGATGTGATTTCATTTGCAATCGCTTAATTTAACCACGACATCGTAATTTTAGTTGATTCAAATTTTAAAGGAACCAGCATATACATATAATATCCAAACGAATAAGATTCTGTAATATTTTTGTTATTAGTATTTCGAAATTTTATAGCGAATATAAGGAACTGACGTTTCCTTTTAGAAGATTAAAAACAAGTAATAGAATTGTAACATGAAACGTAAAGATGGATGCACTACCTGTGGAAAAAAGACATACAATATTTATTATTAGAGAGATCATGCAATTCTAATCATCTACAAACGTGTTAAAGGAAAATCAATTATTAATGAACGCGAATAAAATTAAAAATTATTTGAAAATTTATCGAGCAGCCTTCCAGTTGAATACTATACTGGTCTGACCATCTATTACTGTTTCTACTTATACTGATATCCGAGACTCGGCTATTAATATTCAAAGTCGATTTTCTTGGAAACGAAGTCATAAATGAAAAGATTTTATTTTTTTATCTCGATTGTACCGTCGATACTGGGAAATTGGAGTAAGAAAAAAAATTTGTTTCTCGTTTTAGAGCTTATATGACGTACCACTGCAAACCAAAAGACTCTCTTCGTAAAATCCTTCTTGACAGTAACAACGTTTTTCGGGCATAGTGCTGTTCCGTTGTATGCAATGTGCACCCTCGATACATTCCGAATCCTCTTTACACGTAGTGCGTAATGCTAAAGATAAAGTGCGTAAATTAATCGCTTATAGAATAGTTTAAACAATTTTTAACATTATTGCCAGTTTAGTACGAAAGCAACGTTCGATTGTCCTAACTAATGGAACGTATCAAAGTGTTTTCCAATAATTAAACAAACATTAGTTTAATATTTTTTTTTTATCGTAAATATAATGTAGTAATTATTGTTTGGACATTTTCCTATATTTACATTACACTTTCTCAGAACTTGGTTGACTATTATGCCAAGGAGATATTAAAATGTTCGAGGTGAGATTTAATTAATAATTCAAAAACGGCCATTTCATTTGCACTAAACTAATATTGAAATTAATTTACCCTTGTAAATTATGGTACATTTCTTACTAGCACAAAACACAAAACAACAAATTTAGGGAGATCTATAAAATATAATTCTTCATTCTGTGATTCGAAAATTTAGATTTCCGGAATTTTACTGCATTTTAGCTGAAAGCTATATAAAGAAAATAATGAAATTTTCTTTACATTCAAGTCATAACGTAGCAAAGGCTCATTGCTTTTTCATAGTCCCATTAGAATTTATGAATTATACAATAATAAATGATTAAACATGAATTGTGTGAGTTTTGTAAATTTCGTATATCGAATTTGTACACATTTTTGTTATATAAGTATTGTTATCTTATTCTGCGTACCAAATATTAAATGTTTATTAACCGTAAATAAATTTGTACCCTTTTTTACTGTGTGTCAAATATGCCTAATTTCGACAGAAGGCCCTGCACGTTTTAATTTCACCCTAACACGCAATCTCACAGAAATGTGCTCCTGACATGACTCCGGCGATCAATCAATTCTCAATTTTTACAAGAATGTGTAATTTCGCTTGGAGTTATCTACGTTTTCGCGTTCGTAATCAGAGACACGTTGTTTACGATAATCCAGCAATCAAACTAAATCGTAACATTCCCAAATCGTTTTTACGAAGGTTTGTTACTATTTTCCGTGACCGTCACGTGGAAATTTTCAATAAAAATTCTCAGTCGATGCTTAATTTCTATTTCCATGCATCAACTTGTACCGCTTCAAACAAGTTACGGATACAGGGCCTATTGATTGTTTTAAGCGTTGAGCCTATTGTATATTTCTACGTATAAGAATTACTAAGAGAGTCACAAATTAATCATTCAGATTAATAAAAATATAATTGATACAATAGAGCAGAAAAAGTAGCCAGATAAAAAATTCACTATTAAATATATCGTAAAAAATTTCGAAATAAAGGAGAATATTTATTCCCTAAAACAAAAGCTATAATTTCGTAAGATTGTTAATAAATATCTCGCATAAAGAATTTTAACGAAAGTCATCGTCGATGCTATTTATTCCTTAAACCACAGAGTTTATTTCGTCAAATGTTGAGTCGCTATACCACAGAAAACAAGGAAAGTGTGTGTTAAGGCCGCAATGATATTCTTAAAGCTTTCCAATTTGCATAGATAACCATAGACCAAATACCAACACCGTCATACGTTCACATATTGCAAGGAAACACGTGAGTATATGCAAATGATAGTAGTTGCTTGTGCGGCAAGGAATTCAATTTCTTTTAAAAAAAAAGCTTTCCTCGTCGTTAGTTCCCCTTTAAAACCCGACTGAAACGTGTTTCAAATTTACATGGCATCCAACGTTACACCGTTAAACGATATTTTTCATATTTAAACAAACTTAACGACTTTATAGTATCAATACAAATCAAATTATAAAAATTCGATTCTTCTTCCAAATTTTTTAACGAGCTGTAGAAATGTCGTTGCAAATGATTTATTTTTAATCGATTAATTACCTTTGAATTTGTTGGTACATGCGCCGTTAAGAGGTGCGCTATAATCGCCGCACAAACAGCGTGTCCTTCCATCTCGTGAATCTGCCATACATGTTGTATTTTGTATACCGGCGCAATCGGACTCTAATTTGCATTCGCGAGCTTTTCCAACTGCAATTATAAGTACCCGTGCGTAAATAATGCTTTCAAATAATTATTCGAAGGTGCTATTTTCTAAGAATATTTTCTATATCAATATGCTTGAAAATGGAATTAAATAAACGGCCTCACACATTGAGTCTGATGTCCAAAAGGGTTGGGGCAAAACTTCCACTACTACTGAGGGCGAATAGATGAAAAAAGTTCATACAAACTTATGTCCAAAAATGCTTTATTGAAAAGATATTAAAAAGTTTGTACAGAATTGCATAAATATTGTCAATTCTCAATAATTTTATCGTTCACATGTCCTGATCTACGGTCACAAGATCTCTACTATTGCCTTTTTTAATAAACATTTCCTCGTATACGCAAAAGAGTTGATTTGTTAAAATAAGATACAAACAGAAGATCAGCTTTTGGAATGTATTCGAAATGCATTTACAACTTATTTCGGGGATGAAATATTTGAAAGAATTCGACAATCACTAATTGCAGAGGGTGGAATTTCCGAACATTTCTTATGAAAGCTTATATCTTATTATATCTTTTCAATAACTGTTTTTATCTATTTGACTTCGGTAACACTTTGGTTTTATGAAATATTATAGATCAAACAGAAACGAAGCGTATTCGTGTTATTTCGAATTTAAATATGATTCACGGAACAGTACGATATGAGGTAAAGATTGCAACAATCTGAAACCCTTATCCTAATTAGCGGTTTCGGTAAAAATAGAAGGAACGAACCTGGCGTGGGCGGCGGCGGTGGATTTTGATTTTGAGACTGTGGGTTGGTTTTACCAAAGGTGGTGAGTGCCCAAGTGGACGATGGTGATACGAAAAACAACAGTAAAAGGAACGACGCAAATATGTGGTAGCTTCTACCCTTTTTCATTTCTTCCGTGTTTACTTGTTGCACTGTCTTTTGAAAGGATTGCCACTCAAACTGTTCACAAACACTTGGACGAAGAAGCGACAGAGCTCGAAACGGAACCGAAGTTTAAAACGGAAGGCACTTTTTTCGTAATTCGATGAAATTTCCAACCCCCGATGGCCTTTCGCCGCAGAGGATTTAAAGTTCACGGGATCCCCTCAAGCTGTTTTTACGTGCACTGACGAACAAATTACCATCGATCCTGTGGCTGGAATTATCAAACATCCGAGGAAAGGTTGGGGGCCAATTTTGTCGCACTTTTAAACCACTTGCTTCTCAAATGGTGTACTATTACGCTCTATTCGAGAACTGCGTGTTACAAGGACGTTGGAAGGCCTTTTAAGCCTTTGAAGCACTCCCCTTGCCTCTACCTCGTACCCCATGTGCTGCCACCTCCGTTTGCCTCAGCAGAAAATACCTTATACCAAAACGCAGTTGGTCTACCACACCGCTGAAGAATCGGAGTATGCTTTGGGTTCCTTTAAGTTTCGATCGCAGCTTGTGCTCGAGAGAAATATAGCGGTATTGTGTTGGAACAAAGCATCCCCGGTTAACTTTATCAACGAACATTCTAACCTTTTGCAATAGACGAAGAAAATACCTATTTTTCATACCTAATAATGCTAATAAGCTATATCGTTTCGACTAAATATTTCGTAAATAAATTTGAACTCTTAATTCTTGAAATATTAATTGAGCACAAAAACAGAATATTGAAAAGGCTACTGTTCAAATATTATTCCGCAACCCTAACGTCCAACGTCGAATTATAAATTATTATTTGTTAAACTTTAAATTACCAAAGTAGAGAAACAGAGTGTTTATAATATAAAAGGTACTGAAACTTGTGAATGAACTTTATTTACGTCATTGAGTCCTGGATGAAATTTAAACTTTGGAAAAATTTATTCATTCTCAAGTAATGGTATTGATTTGTTTCTTGCAGTAGTACTGACATTTACTTCAATCGTGACTACTTAATAGCGTTGTTACACAAATAAAATTGTTATTTTATCATTTAAGTATTATGACAGCTTGCTCGTATCGAAAATTCGTACTTTGTGACAATAGATTAAACACAATTGAGTCTTATTTTTGACGAGAAAAATTAATTCAATTTCCCTTCCATCTTTACTTCTATTTAAAGTTCCCATAATTCCTATTTTAACAAATACTTTATGAAAATGATTAAAATTTGCAAAATTTCGTTTGGTTGTAAACACATCACTCTTTCGTCAAAAATAGATATAAATAGAGGTAGTATGTCAAGAAAATTTTAAGATGTTAAACTAGAAATAGAAATAGAACCAGAAGTTAACAGGAAATTGGAGAATAAAATGCATTCAAATGTCAATTTTACCCGTCTAATTTACTTATTGAATTTTTATATATATTATATTAAATCAAAAATATGGCACACTATTTTGCGAGTTAATAAATTTAGAATTTTGTAACAACCTACGCAAAGTTTTATTTTTGCACAAAAACTATTGAAGGCTTTCATAAAACAGGAAACAAAATTATTTTCTTTCGAAAGCTACCAATATTTTCGCGGCAAAGGAATGACGTAACTCCTTCAAAATGCGTGATGCAATTATCTTAACTACTGAACTCGTTTCGTACGAAAACTATACATATAGAGTAGGCGGTTTCTTCAATCGTTACCTGTTACTATGTATGACGAAAAGAATACTTGTGTATATGGGTCAGTCCACGCCAAATCGATCACTTTTTGCACTCGATGTCAAGGATTTTAATAAAATTGAAATATGATGTAGTTCGTGTAAAATTAGGAGTTACGTCACCGTTTTACTGGTTGTGAATTTACTTAAATAATATATAATGTCAAACTGTGTGATTTATTTTTACGAAAAATGGCTACAAAAGTATACTTTTACCCCCCAAAACTGGCAAGTGTATTCGATTCGTCATCTTTTTTATCCTCATCGAGAAGAATCAATCTTTCAGAATATATGTATTTTCAGAAAAAATTATAATTTTCGTTTTCCCAATACTGAGACAAAAGAATAGTTTTTAAATTTTCTTTCTCTAAAAAAAATGTATTCCTAAAGTGAGTATTTAAGAAATAATATTATAGCGAATTATTAATCTGTTCAAAATGTAAATTTGAGTGCAATTTAAAAAGATAAAATTGTAATACTAAGCTAAAAGGTTCTAATCTGATTGTCTAATTCATTTGTATTTTAATTAAAATTGCAATGTGTAATTTCCATGTTCACTTATTTTCGAAATATCTTTGAAAGAACATAAGGTACGCCTAGCAAATAAAAAATTTCCCTCACAGAATCTATTTTTATAAACTGGCTCGATTATTTTCGTCGATATGTCAGGTATTATCCAAATTGTTTCGCAGAATTTTATCGTGAAACATGCAACTTAACAAACAAAAACTATGACAATCAGAGGACCAACTTTAAGTGCCAAGCCTACAGAAAACATTTTTCAAAGTTTATACCATCTACATAAAAACTAATCCAAAGTCGGTGACCAACCTATGATGCGCCATTTTGCGGCGTATATTGCTTTGAAAAATGTCATATTGCACCGACACATCGAATTTCTTTTCCACGATTATTAAATTTTTAGGAACACTGATTTCTTCGACAATAAAAGTATTGATTTCTCAAACTAAATCCATTTGCCCTGTGTTTGTCGAGTATACTCATCGTTCAAAGAAAAGAACTACCATTTTGTGTAAAAATATAAAAATAAAAGCAATCTCATTTAACTGTCTATCTTATTTGTGTTTTAATTCAAATAATAATGTGCAATGACTTTGTCTGTTGCCTAAATAGTTTTACATTACTTTATTTTTATTTTTAAGAGTTGATAAACCATATTTATTATTATTCATGTAACAAATATACATTTATACGTTACGTTAAACGAACAATAATCTATTCGTTACGATAAACGAATAATAATCTATTCTATTTCATTAGAATTGCATTTAATGCTAAGTCGCCTACCCAAGACAGTGAAATAACATTTTATTTGTTTTATTTGAACACTACTGCTGGATTTTCAGTTCCATTATATCAGTATTATGATTTTATAATTTGTAGTGAATTAACGAAGATATAAAAATCCAAATAATTTTTTTTCTATTATTTCCTATCTCATAGTAGACATAAATAAATAGAAAAATAGTTTAATCGTAAAGACTACGAACACGTGTTATTAGAATAAAATAGTTTTACCAGTTTTTTAGTCATCGTGTTTGGTCTAGTTTTCATCGGAAGAATCTCGCGGATCCGATCACAGTATTTTCGTAACGATAAAACAATAACTGTAAAAATTGTATTTTTCTGCGTCGATAACTTATTAGAAATCATGGCGGCCATGACGGTCGCGTGTCGAAGATAACGCTAAGGCTTGCTCTGAGCTGGTAGTTGTAGCGCGTGACATGCGTTTCTCTATCACGTGAACTATACATGTGAGCCTAACAGCTTGTCGAGTAGCCAAGTACCTACATTAGCAAGGGACTTGGCAAATATTAGAATGTTTAGAATCGACTTCAGGTCACGCAGAAACGAAATATCTTTAATGCTTCGTTAAGGGAGTATTCTGCTGTGAAACGCGAATTTTTCGCTTTTTTTGATAATTTCTTCTGAAAAATATACCTAATCTTTTTTTTTTGGAATTTCTCATACATATTTATCGATTTTTATAAAATATTTACAAATTTTTCGAAAGTAATATACTAATAATTAATCATCAAAGAAAGCAAAACTGTTACGTTATGGTTTCCATGATTACAGCCGTTCTACACATTTTAAATGAAAAATGAAGAAAGACTTTTAAGCAGAATAAGCTTAGTTTTACCTTCCTCGAGGGAACTACATACATTCTTCTGATATATCCTGTATTCATGTATAATTTATAAGGGTATTGTAGCAAGGTACACCTAAAACAATTCACAGTTTGTGCGATAGAATGAAATTTACTTTCATAAAAACTGATCACGCTAAATGTGGAAAAAATCACAAGGTCTATCACTGAAGGAAGTTGTACACGAAAACTCGTGTTTCGTTTTACACGAGTCACGAAACCTTAACGGTCATACAACTCCCCTATCCATCAGAAAATCAAGCTTCGTTTAAAACTGAGGTTACCATCTAAGGTTATTAATCTAATTACGAGCGATTCGATCGGCGCAAATTGTACTCTTAAAAATATATTTTAACGGGTTTGATTATTTCCATAAAAAACAGCGGTAATAAAAAAAAAAGGTCAATAATAACAGCTCTAAAAGTAACCCACATTTATGATTAAAAAAGAAAAACTTGTTAGCTTGGATAGAACCTTCTTTGGGAGTGTAAGAAGACATCTTTGAATTACAAAAAATAATCTTTCCATTATTTCTTAATTAATGCAAAATTTTGATAGCTTCTTCGACATTGTAACAAAAATTACTTTCTTTTTGGATAAATTAACTTTATTTCATAAAAAATATGTTATAAATCAAAGATGAAATTAAAATTTTAGTTTCAGTTCCTGAAGATCTATTATACATGTATAACGAATAATATTACTGGAATGTTTACCTTGAATGTAAGTGGACTTAAAAAATAGATTGCTTAAAATAGAACGACTGTATTCAGAACGTGTGTGAAAAGATTCAGAAATGTATCACGTTATCCTCATCATTTTATAGCGTAAATATGCTAAAGAATGTCCTTTTGCACGCTAAGCTGTTCGAAATATCTACAAGCTCCAATTTGCGAGAAGCTATTGACATATCACGAAGATATCGTAACAGTTGGCACTGTCTCTCGCTTTCGATAGAAAAGAAACTGATCGGTAATGAATCCTGAATATTCACACGACACGTACACGTATCTAAACGTGTGTTGCACGATCCTAACATCCACACGAACGCGAGGGTTGATTTTCCTATAATTTATGTACACTTCTAATCGAAACATCACAGTTTAATGTTGCGTGTCTGATAGAATTAGCAATATAAGGTCAGCGTGTAGTTAATTTATCCTTCTGTCTGAATTGCAAGTGATAGAAGTGCAGTCGGGGGAAAAGAAATTTGGTAATCTATATCTGCACATACCTGCATACGTATAGGGTGTTGCTTTTAACCGGATAAAAACCGTCAAAGATACGAAAAAATTGTTATTGTGACATTTGTTTAGCACGGAGGAAGTGACGTTATGTGGTGTAACTAGTTCTTTGCAAATAGAACGGGTATTTCAAGGTTAAATGGAATTCTCTTAGTGGAATACTAAACGCCATTGCATTCCTACATACTTCCACAGAATAGATTCGCGTTTTCGCGCATTGAGTCTTAAAACTTATTTATTTTACTAACGTCTTAATCCAAACGCGTTATAATCATCACTTGGCAATCTTAAAACTTACGTCAGTCTTATGTAACATTGACAATGCTTGGAGAACATGTTCAAGCATTGTTTGAACTTTTATTCCAGGTAATCTCGTTTAGCAGGAATTCTATGCACCATCTTAAAAAAGCTAACTGAGACGATGTCGTTAAAAATCTAAATAAATAGCACACAAAAACTTGTACCAATCAGATGTTTACTTTTTTTTATATCGTTTTGAAATTTGAGTAATTTTTGAGTACGTCAAAGTGTCCTAAACCTTTAATAACGACAAATTAATATATACTATGGAATTAGAATTCGTGTTACTCGGATATCAAATATTGTGGTCTAACCAACTTAAAATATGATATCGTGTTTTCACCAACGCAGAATATGTTAACCTTTAGAATTTATAGAAATAGTAGGAAGTCATTAACGTACAAGACTGTTCAACTGCTGTATCGCGATATGTGGACTAAATCGGTACCATAAAAGCTCAGTTAATTATAATTGAGTATCACTTCGCACCTTTACGAATTATTTATTCGATTCTTTTATTACAAATGCACTGTGTAGGATTACTAGATAAATAAATAATATAATTGGATAGCTATGCGTGAGAAATATAGCACAAAATTATACCTCCGTATCAAAGAAACGATGCAACGTAGAATTACGAATGTTATTTGATCAGATTTCTCACAATCGGTCCAACAAATTATGCAAAGTATTTTCCAGCAAGGATAATCAATTTATAGGGGATCATTAAACGTAAGAATTATGTGCGTTAGTTGATAAGGATCTCTTTTAAATGTACAGACCTGCTTCACCTTTGTAATCATCGACTAAACAATTGTAATTACCTATTAGCCAGCGTATAGAAACGTTATCACACTAACTCTGGTGCAAATCGTTGCATATTAGCATAAATAAGTTCAAGGCCCATGCGCAGCTGTGCAAATGATGCATTAATTATTCTATGACACGATTTTGTCATACAGTGGTAAACTTTACGAGGGTTGTTTGTAATTAAAAATACGCGTGATACGTTGAATAAGCAAACCAAAGTCAAATGCAATACACGAATGTAAAATTTCTACAGAACATTGTGTGTTTTTTAAATTAATATTAAACGAAATTAAACTTTCACTAATTTACTTTTATCTAATTGTTAGACAGTTTACCTTGGTACCTTTTGAGTAACTATTTCAATAATTCGATAACAGTAACGGATTATAAGTACTCGGTGAATCATAAGCCTAATTATGTAATGTATATGTTATGGACCAAGAGACTGATACATCATTATGAACAATATCTAAAACAGTCAGTCGATCTGAGAAATATCAATAAAAAGAACTTTGAAGGAAACAAGAACTCATTTTTTTCATTAAGATTTAATTATTTTTATTTAGAAACAATAATCTTTAGTAAACTTGGAAAATTCAGATTTGCAACATTTAATGTTTAAAGCAGTTTCTTTTGTTTAACGGTTCGATGAACAATGAACAAACTAAATGATCACGATAATACCTTTTTTTCGATAATTTGATATTTCTTTCGATAACGACGCAGGTGTTCATGTTCTATCAGATACGAGCCTCTTGATAAAATTCGTAAATGAGTACCGTGTTACAAACTTATGCGCTTCGATTAGAGACAGATGCGATCAGCATGGTTTACATTGGAATTACTATACTTTGTTTCCTATTCACCGTGCAGTGTTCCTTGTACGAAGGTAAATATTTAAATATATTTTTATACTGCTTAATGACAAAATATATTATCTACAATTTTCAAAAATATGAATAAACTGAAACTATAAATTTTAATTCCTTTAAGACAAGTTGTCATTTACAGTACTCTTGTTTCTAGATTTTTCGAAAGTATACTCATTTAATAACAACATTGATGAATTTTAGGATCTGCAGTTAATAGTAAACAATTAGAGGAACAAATTACTCTCCAGAAACAATTCATAGATGATTGGAAATGCAATTCCAATTTAGACTGTACCGTGATTAATAGTAATTGCGTGAATAGTACGTGCCAATGTTCTCCAGGCTATGTTTACAATGGAGAAATGACGTCGTGCGTTAAAAGTAAATTGTAAAAAAATAATTAATTGAATCTGATTTTGATGAAACGATTAATGTATTTATTTTTACAAAATAGTCGTTGATACTTATGGCGATAAATGCAACGAATCGATACAGTGCTCCAGGTATTTATTGAGTGGTGCAACTTGCCTAAATAACATATGTATATGTTCTGAGGGATACTATTATGCTCATGGAAGATGTATTGCATATACAGGTATTTTATGTACTTATTGAATCATCGAACCTATATATCGTTATACAAATTCTCTATAAAGCTTGCTTCTACAGGATTGAATAAAAAGTGTCACCAGGACTACGATTGTTACGTATTTGCCACTTACGGTGCAACATTTTGCGACAAGGGAATCTGCAAATGCAGCCCCGGATTTTATCAACGCGAATATAGAACGTGTCGTCCAAAAGCAAAAGGTACGCATTGTTTAAATCATTTCGTTCTATAACAACACGTTTTAACCCGTTCGTTAATTAATTACAATCGTTTTATTCAATGAATCGATCCAACACCGAGAAACAGATCTCTACTTTTTTAAACGAGCACCAAATTTTTATTAACACAGAAGGAAACAAATTTAGGTATCATAAACTATTATAAAACACAAGTTTTATATGTGTATTCCATACAAAGTGGAATAAAATAAGAAACAGAACTGTAAATAAACTTTTAAGGGAGTCATAACACAAAAGAAAACAAATGTAGGTATCAAACTACTATAAAACACAAGTTTTATGTGTGTATTCCATTCAAAGTGGAATAAAATAAGAAACAGAACTGTAAATAAACTTTTAAGGGAGTCACTGCAAAAAGGAAGCTTCAATTTTTAAACTCATGGTGGTTTTAGAGTGAAAATTTATATTATGATTAAGAATATTATCATTACTGTTAACAATGATTATTAAATCTTTGTACTTTGATTTGCGTTTTGTGCAGACTTCAACGATGAATGTCTGATACGTAACGACTGTGCATTTAACAACACTGCATACTGTAACGATGAATTTAAATGCGTTGTCGAGTTGCCTAATGCTGCATCAGAACCCTTAGATGACAATGACGTATCTCAAAGAAACTATGCAAATAAAATAGGTCTGTATTATTTTCTATTACCAACTTCATAGATGACAAGATAATAAGATACGATTTTTCCGTAGAACTCAGCATAGAGAAAAAATGCACAACGAACGAAAATTGCAAACAATTCGATAATACGGTATGTGGTCCTTTAGGAAAATGTGTTTGCAAACGTGCGTATTTCCTCCATGAAAACGGAAAATGCGTTCCAGGTAAAGGAAATATGTTTACAGTTCGTTAATAATTTTTACAATAATTGAAATCTTTATCTTGTTGGTAACAGAAGAGTGTAAAGTGAACTTACATCACTATGACTCTGAAGAAGTTGTTCTTGTTGTTTATTGATAAAGAATGAATATTTTAATTGACTATGAGTGCAACCAGATGGTGCCAAATTTAATAAATTTTCAAACTAGCAAAAGAATGCAAAATAATACAAATATCTTTACAGAACTTGGAGAACCCTGTCTCGTGAATGATACCGCTCATATAGAAAGATCAGAGTGTAAATACGGTAAATGGAATTGTAAATCAAACCAAGTTGCTTCTGTCGACAATCGAAGCTGCAGAAAGGGTAAGTGATATGTCTGTTTTAAAAAAACCAAATCATGAAAAATAATTTCTTCGATATATCATAGCGAACAGAAAGTACAATTATTCGTGTAACTTTGACGAGCAATGCCATACTTTTGGACCGGATGCAGTCTGTAATAATGAGAGATGTCTCTGCAACGAGAATTCTCAATTCATTGAATCTGAATTATTTTGTTGGGTTAAGAGAAAGATTGGTGACAAATGCCAGCAGTCTAAAGATTGTTATGTTAATGACAAGAGTGCCAAACCATCCTGCAAAAATAATATTTGCTCTTGCCCGAAGGGAACTCAAGCAAATGCTGAGCTCACAGCTTGCGAAGAACGTGTAACAGGTAAACTTCGAAAATTCGTATATTCTTCGACATTTTTCGGCATATCTTGCGGTTTTTTATTTTTTACTACTTCAATCAAAAAATCTGAAAATCTCCCAAAATATGTGCCCCGGTGCCCGAAATGTCTCTGAATTTTTTTACATTTTTTTACTCGATGGGTCAAGAGAAATTGTACAAAAACATGATTTTCGTTTTCACCCCATTACTACCCCCACGGTCGAGATTTCAAGTTAAAAATTGGCACAAAGGGTTTTTTTTGGATAAACTATCGAATGATCGTTCGTTCAATTCGGTTTGGGGGCACATTTGACCCCCTTATTCGGCTACACCCTTTATACTTGTTTTAACGGATTAATAATTTTACTATTAAAGGTATTAATTCTACTTGCACTAAAAACAGTGATTGCCCAACGGAAAATTCAGAATGCAAATCAAATCGTTGCACCTGCAAGAAAAATTATGTTGCAATCTCAGTTGATTCGTGCTTGCCAGGTGAGTGATAATCTTGTGCAACTAGAAACAATGCAAAATAATCAACAACATAGCTGAATAAGTAAATTTTAGATTCAATTTTCTTTGGAAATACAAAAAAACAAAAAATGAGAATCGTAAACATTCGATACTTTAAATATTGTAGATTGTATTAAAAAATACGTAATTACTAATTAAGTTTCAGTCTAGCATTTTTGCTATAAATAAAAATGAAATTCTAAGTATTATTGAAAGTGGAAAGAAGTTTACGTTTCATTTAAATTTTAAAATAAAATTATAGTTCCGTTTAAGGTAATAGAATAGTCCATATAACGTGAATTTTATTTTACAAATTACACTGCATTGCATACGAATTTTAACAATGAAATAATAGTATTGCGTTTTCAGTTGTGGGGCATGAAGAACCTTGTGAAAATGATCTTCAGTGCTCCGCCACAATGGCGAATGCAGTTTGTATAGGTGAAGGTGGTTCGAATGAAAATAAAACTTGCGATTGTGCCGCAAATTGTCACTATAAATTTAAGAAGTGTTATAAAACTAAAGGTCAGTGTATGAAAAACAAATTTCAGTGTTTTAACATTCGTATAAACGTACGACCAACAGCTTATCGGATTAATTATGGAATTATTTCTACAGGGTGGGGCACTTAAAACATTCCGCCTGAATAACTAGCTCGTCTTCCACTGTATAAAACTATGTTAAATGTGTTTCTGTTTTGATGAATTCTATTCTGCATTCGGGGTACATCTAAATATTTTTTATAACGTTATCGTTTGAGAAATGGCTCAAAATGTCGCCCACTGTGGAGCATATATTACTTTACTTTTGCCCCAAAATTTCAGGAACCAATCATTTTCAAAATGGTTTTTCTTGAAATAAAATTCAATTCACATCACATTGACGCTTCACTTACTTTAGTTTGCTCGTAATATGTACTTCAAAATATTAAAACGAATAATAGTTCTTTACTTTACATCGATAATAATGCTTGGACAGAAATTCATCTTAAAAAAGCTTGTAAAATATTGAACTATCTTGTTGCCATGTAAATTAACAAAATCAGCTTAAAGCGCTTATTAGCGAGAATTTGTTATAAGTAGACTGCGGATCTTTATGCAAATTCATATTTTTATTAATAGAATTAATAAAATGGGAGCTTTGTAGATGATTGTCTCAACCCTTAAATATAATAATTCGTATCTTACTTGAAGTATTTCTTATATTTTTGCATATTAAGTGCATTCCGTAGTTTCTTGAGAATTAAAATTCCCCATAAATGCATAAACATCCGCAGTCTAGTTATAAGATAGTAACTTGTCATCAAAAATCTGCACGTTGGCGTATAAAAATATTGAAATTTCAGTTCTTGGTTCGCGGTGCGATTATCTTGGGGAATGTTACCTAAATTCGGACGATTACCGTGTCGTCTGCAAAAATAACCGTTGCTCCTGCAATTGGGGCTACGTTAAAGCAAATGACACTACGTGCAGAATGGATTCGAACACTCAACGTTACAATAACGGTAAGTAGCCTTGACTCGTGACCGATCGAAAGGTTTCCCCGCGTTTGATTTCCGGCGATGCAAGAGGAAAGACCGGTCGAAACTTTAACTTGTAGTTTGTTTTTTTTGAATTGCGCATGAAACTCTTATGCGGCAAGGTAATGTGCTTGCAATTACGTCTTGACCGGTCGCATGCCGTTTCTGAAGTTGCGTTGCAATTTGCCGATTGTAAATGTCGATAAAGCGTATCTGCAAGGCGACACAGCCCATCTGAAAGAGACCTTTTCGCGGAAAAGCTGACGAAGATAGCCTGAAAAAATGAAATTTTTGGCTACCTTGCGTATTAACACGAATTCATCGATGCATGTATTCGTTTCAATTCTAAAACTGACCACTATTCGACTGTACATAAGGTCTTTGGATCGAAAGTCACTCGAATATATGAAATTCTTATTCTTAATTTTAGGGTTTATCTTTTAAAACTGTTTATTTATAACAACTTGTACAGACTTCCCTGCACTATCTTTTTTGTTGTTGGTTTTGTTACATGAATAGCATTTACTCCTTTTTACGACTCGCAAAACTTTTTAAACAATTTATGCTGTTCTCTGTCCCGAGTTAATCGAACATTTAATTTAATAAAATAATCGAAAATCAAACTACTAGATTTAATTGTTTAACAGAGAGTGAAACAACCCTACGAAATTATAACAAAAGTACAAATATTATTTTATATATTTCTTCTTTTTCAAAAGTAAAAGCTTTTCGTAAGTTCGAATTGAATTAAATACGTTATCTTATTTTTCCAGGTAGTACTATCAGAGGCGATTCAGAAAAATTACTGCTAATACTTTTATTGGCGATAAATATTCTCAATATAATTAAAAATTACTGAAACACCATAAACAAACCAAATATGTAAGCAAAAAAATGCAATATCATTTAAATTTTATATCAAGCCACGCGAACATCTGTAGATCCAGCGCGACACATTCTAAATTATTGCAATCACAAAACTGTACCATAAAAAAGTATATAAAATTTTGTTTTGTAATCTTCTATCTCATGTATTTGAATTTGAATATCACGCGAACGAACAAATTGATGTTTTAGAAACAATATTTTTATTTTAATAGAAAATAATAATTATTTAAACAGAACAATAGTTTCATAAATTTATTGATTAAAATATTTGTGGGAAAACTGGATCTCAATTACTTTTTTTTTTATTAGACAAGATAGAAAAAGTATTTATGTAACTCTCTTTATATAAAATTTACTTTCCCTTAAGATTTATTAACAAATATATGGGGTGGCTCGATAACTTCGACCACAGACGAGGTATACGAGTAGACCTTTTCACCTTATGGATTTTCGCGGTCGAATCTGACTGCCATACCGACCTGAAAATTCGGAGCTGATTTTAGCGCCCTCTTCACACGGATGGCGGTCAGTTGAGAAACTATTCACTGAATTAGTATTGATAGGCATGCAGCTGTAGTGTTGTGTAAATCACAGACGAGGTATACGAGCAGACCTTTCACCTAATGTAATTTTTCGGCCGGTGTTACCATTTTCGTGTCACTCGCAACGTTATCAACAGATTTAGAAATTAACACAAGAGGAAGTGAGACAGAAAATAAAATTACATAAATTTTATTATTTTTTAACGGAACGAAAGCTGTATGGTCCAGAATTGAGCATCGATTAATTTCATTGGAATAACCAATCGATCGAGATTATTTAAAGATTTCAAAATTATTAAAATACGTAACGATCTCATTGATAAATACACCGCAAATCCTCTATTTTTTATTTTCAATTGTAATATATTATTTATTTAAAAACTAACTCGGCAAAATCGTATTTGCGACTCGAAATCAGTGTTATTAGACCGCACACCAGGACGAACAAGGTATGTGGAACTATAAGAAGAACGCAGCCATTAGCTCATATTATTTGCTATGTAATTAATAATTCTATTAATTACATAGTAAATAATAATCCCCAGGTCTCACCTCGTGGAGGTTGCTGCGACTGGAGACCCACCCTAGCCTCGCCCCAACCACCCTTCCTTTGGCGAGGAATTCGAATACCTATCTAAGGGAGAAGCTATCGAAAAGTTAGAAACGAGCTAGAAAAGGGGAGTTCTTAAAAGAACTGCCCAATCAAGAGACGAAGAACCTAACAAAATGTCAATACATGTGAGATGATACACATGTTTTCTAAAAACGAAATTGAAATGTGCAACTGCACGCACGAACTCTGACCAATGAAGAGATCAAAAACCTAACAAAATGATACATGTGAGATAAACCAGCACATGTTTTCTACAAACGAAATTGGAATGTGCAACTGCACGTATGAATCCTGATTACTAAAGTATCAATGTGTACTTTATTCCTAATTGTTCCTTCTTAAATAAATACTTGCATTATGACAGTGCCTAACAAGACACTCATACAAAACGAAGAAAGGATCCTGAAGATCCAACCAGAAATGTGCAACTGCACGTATGGACCTTGCATATTCGAATACTAATATGTATCTTAATTTTAATCATTCCCACTTAAATTTACGCACACGTTTCGGTAATATTTAATAAACGGCAGGAGAACGCTTTTTTATCTTATAATCTATATACATTTGAACTTATATTCTAACGCAATCTGTAGAAACATGAGGAAATATGAGGAAATATTTTCTTCTTGGTGTCTTCGTCATTCCCACGATGTTTTCCTGAAACAAAAGCTCATATCCAATAAAATATATAACTCGTATAAAACAAATAAATATGAAAAAATATTCCTTCTTGGTGTCTTGATTAATCCCACGATGTTTCCCTGAAACATAAATCAGACGATAAATAAAATTGTATGAAATATTTCTCTAAGAGCGATCAAGATGGAATCCGTGTACCATTTCCAATTCCATTCTTAGATGATTTTATATTCTGTAACAAGAACTTGTTCAAAGGATTAAAAGCTGAAACGAAAGTGTATTAATGAACACAGAAAAAAATAATTATATACCGTCAAGATAGACTAATGGTAATCGATCATACCAAAAGTGATATTATGAAATTAATATTTGAACTTCCACGATTAAAAATTGATAGTAAAAAGTTTAAAAACATAAATATTACGTGAAATTGAATGAAAATTCGCCTCGGTGTTAAGATAAATACGAAATAGATTGAAAATTTTATTCATTCGTTACCCGTAGATTTTATTTTTCGTTTCCTTTATGAAATAAACAATTTTTCAAGGCGTATACATTGCAATAATTATATTTTACTGTATTCAAAACTAAATTAGGTTCATACAGAAAAAGCAATAGCTAACGAAAATGTCGATTCTACGCGGCAATTAACTCTCAAATCGAATTGCAATTTGCATACCCTTTTGATGCAAGCATTCTATTTTCCATCGATTAAAACAATGATCGCGAACAAACTTTGATTTATGCAAAGAATACAGAATATTTATAAAAAATTCGCTATTTATAAATAACAATTGGATTGCAAACGTTATTATATCCCGTAAAAATTACCAACTCTAAGAATGAATAATCAGTGATATAGATATCTATATAGCAATCGTAAATTCAATCTACAATCAAATTAATCATAATATAGAATTTTTAAATGCATCACAAATCTGTGATGAAAATACATTCCCATATATTACAGATTTTAACACGTTATGAAGAATAAAACAATTGGTCTATTCGCAACAGTACTTTCAAGCAGTATTTCTTTTGAGAATAAACTCATAATTGGAATAAACGTCCACTCGTCTTAAATTCAAACAACGCGTGAGTGGACCATTCTTTCTTTCGCAACGATTTTATCTAATTTATAAAATAAAAAACTATACGCGAATGGTGCTTGTTATTCGTAAAATGAACCATACAGGGTTCCTTTATTAATTAAATCGCGTGCACCTATATTCAATCATGCGCAACACTAATTTTAATAATAACGTTGAGCCATTCGAGGCTTTGTAGAATCCCAGCTTGCTTCTCGATGATCCTGGTGCAGTGAGCAGCGTTTTGACCAGCTTTTGGGCATTGGATCGCAACTCTAATTAATAAAAAACGCGAGAAGATCGCAACGCTAGTTTATAATAGAAAAATTCCAAACGCGATTTATAAGAATAAAAGCAACCGCGAATGGTGATTATTCGCAACGCTACCCTGAAAAGTAAACGCGAAAAATAGTAATTCGCAACGCTAAGAACAAACCGATCAGTACGTTCGCAACGCTATTCTTAAATAACGATAAAAGCAATCGCGTATGGAATTCGCAACGCTACCCTGAAAAAGAAACGCGAAAAATAGGAATTCGCAACTCTACAAGCAAACGCGATTATTGTATATACGCGACTCTATCTTTAATGGAAATACATGTATGTTTCGCAACGCTAATGCAAATCGCGTTGCCCAAAAACGCTGGATCAGGTGCTGGCGTCTTCGGTTGTAGCTAGAAACATACATGCACAAAATAATCTAACTACATCAAGCTACTTCAAACTACAATAGAGTGGCACATATGGGGATGAAGTTAGACGTTTTAAATATCGCAACACTACGGGGCAACAACGCGATAAATCAACAATCGCAACGCTAATTTATAATAGATAAATTCCAAACGCGATTTATAAGAATAAAAGCAACCGCGAATGGTAATTATTCGCAACACTACCCTGAAAAGCAAACGCGAAAAATAGTGATTCGCAACTCTAATAGCAATCGCGTTTACTAAAAATTCGCAACGCTATTTTTAAAGTAAACGCCCGGTTCCTAGGTTTGCATAAAGACAATCGCGAATCGTATTTATTCGCAGCACTGATATATCAACGCGATAAATATTTGTTCGCAACTCTACGAGCAAACGCGAACATTGTATATTATTCGCAACTCTAACTTTAATCAGGGGCTATTGGTACATGTGCATAGACATGTACTGGCCATAAAATAAACTGACTACTACTAGTACTACAATCGGGGTAGAATTTGGGCATTGAAAATATCGCAACGCTAAATAAAAAATCGCACGATTAATCAAGATCGCAACGCTAATTTATAACATGAAAATTACAAACGCGGTTGACATCCATTATATGTATATATAAAAGAGTAAAAAAGCAACGCGAATCGTGATTGTTCGCGACACTACCCTGAAAAGCAAACGCGAAAAATAGTATGTATTTCGCAACTCTACGAGCAATCGCGTTTATTAATAATTCGCAACGCTATTTTTAAGCAAACATTCAGTACCTAAGTTTGCAAAAAACCAATCGCGTATCGTGTCAAGGCGCAACACTACCCTGAAAAGGAAACGCGAAAAACAGTGATTCGCAACTCTACAAGCAAACGCGATTATTGCATATTCGCAACTCTATGTATATCATAACCGCGAGTTATGGGGAGGGATGGCTGGCATGTATGGTGCAATCATGTACCATCAGGTA